CGGGACGGGAACGACGACACATAAATAATCTTTAATAAAGCACTGGGAGCTCTGGACCTCCCCCCCCACGACCCGCAACCGCACCCACAGCCGTCAGCACCGTCACCCCCACCGACGTCACTGTGCTGCTCCCGGTATGCGGTCCGCGACTCGCGAGACTCCGCCGAATGCCGATAGGCCGCCTGAATTGATTAGCCGAGACTCCGAGAGCAACGAGTAACGACTCCCGACTAACGAGCAACGACGAGTGACGACGGTCGACGAGTCGATTTCGGCGTGCGGACCGAGTTGAGCGTGAGTGGCGAGTGCGTCACTCCCTCGCCATATTGCCCACATTGGGAACTTTCTACTTGGGCGAGTTGGGATTACGAACCGTTCTCCGCGACTGAATATCTGAATCAAATATTTGATTCTAACCGGGAAATAGGAAATGGGATTCAGCCATTCGGAAGTACATCGTCACATGTAATGTACAATCTGGAATACAGACATTTTACAGTAAAGATTCGGTAGAGATAGGATGTTGAATGTTGATGACTTTCGCATTTTTTTTCCTTTGATCCTATAAAATTCCAACTTAACTAAAATTTCATTTCATGATCCCTTGGTTCAGAATATATTAGGTAATTTAATTTTCCATTTTTTGTTAATTTTTTCATATTATTATAGAACATTAAATTACACTTTTTTGCAGTTTTTACTTTTTGTACAACGGGGGCATTTTTCTCTAATTTTGGATTAGTTGGTTTTTGTATTATTAATATAATTTATGAAATATTATAATTTATAATTTAAATATTATATATTAAATGATTCTGAGCTGAGCGTTTTTTTTTTTTTTGTTGTTTCTGCCATCAACTTTTAGGACTTATGGTAAAACTGCTTCCAACTTCTTCACAGTTTTTGACAATTTTTTTTTATAATCATTTAAAGTTTGAATTTTGACAAAAGGCATAACAATTTGCAAATTATTTTGAGTAAGGAATTTCTAAACATTTTTCTTTTTAAATCTAAGATTTAAAAATGTAATAAAGGAATCATTTTAAGGACCACCATAAAAGGTCTACCATTAACAAAAAAAAATGTTCATGAGAAAGTCAAATTAAATTTTTATGAGCGTTTGCAGAAGTTCAAATTTTTACAACATTGGATATTCACCCGATTTCTTAAGTAGCGATTTTCTTATTTTCTTATAATAACCGTAACCACTTGAGATTTATATCATAAATGTTCATTTTATCAATTCTTTTACTTGATAAAATTTTCAAAATATTTTGACTTGTTTTGAGCTGTTTACGGAAATTTTAAATTTAAATTTTTAAAATTTTTTTCTATAAATATCAATAAAGTTGTATCGTTGGGCAAAATTTGCGTCAACATTTAATACAAGGATCCTAATATATAATGTTTAAATAGCAGTTAAAAAAAATTGAAAATACATAAAATAAGCACAATTTTTTTTTTTATAATCATTTGAAGTTTGAATTTTGATAAAATGTATCAAATTTTAAGTTTTAAAATGATTTTGTAGTTCAAAATTTATAAAATTATCAAATTTTGTAGGTGAGGATTGAAAACTTACAACAACTTTCCACGTAAGTAGCTTATTCTGTAACCAAAATATTTCAAAATTATAAAACACAGTTTTTAAGTTAAAATGTAGTAATTTTATAATATCAACTGACGTTTGACCAACCGTCACAGCTCAGAATCGTTTTTCGTATAAAATAATATTTTTCTTTTGTGTCTGTCATCACCATTTAGGACAGTAAAACTGCTTCGATTTTCTTCAACAGTATCTTGTTCGATGGGAAAGTGAATTTAGTTGGTGTAGTCGGGAAAAACAACATAAAATTAACGAAAAACGGGAATTTTTCGACAACATCGATTTTGGTTTTTGGTGTATAACTCTAAAAAAAAATGATCGTATATAAATGACATTTTCAATGGTTGTTTATATTTATATGAGTTTTTTAATATGAATTATGTCAATAAAATATTATTTGCTGGGTAAAAAGGCTTGACAATTTAATAGGTACAAGGCTCTTAATATATTATTAGAATGAGATTTGAAAAATATTAAACATCCATAATCACAAATTTTTTTTTTAAGCATTTACAGTTCAAATCTCGACAAAGTACGTAAAAATCACGAAAATGTGCAAATTATTTTGAGTTAAAAATTCCTAAAAAATTTGCTTTCTAATCTAAGATTCTAAAATGAAATACAAGATTTCTTTTCAGTTTGTCTACTTTTAACAAAATATAATGTCCATAAGAAAGTCAAATTCAATTTTTATGAGTGTTTGTAGTTCATATTTTTACAAGATAATATTGGATATACCTACTCGATTTCTCATGTTGCGATTTTCTTATTTTGTTGTAATTCGAAAACAAAAAACTGCAGACACTTGAATTTTATATCATATGTTAATTTTATCATGTCCTATACTTGATACCATTTTTAGAAATGTTGACTCGGTTGGAGCTGTTTACGGACATTTTCAATTTCTAAGTTTTTTGGTTTTTGTTTCTATAAATGTCAATAAAATTTTTTTTCTTAGGTTAAAAAGATTGTAAATTTAATACAAGGCTCCCGATATATTGACATATTGTTACTTTACCAATTACCAGTCAGGGGCGTCATTTGGGGGTGGGCAGGGTGTGCGACGGCACCACTAACATAATAGAATAAATAATTGGCCCTCCATTAATGCTCCTATGCTCCGATATGATTACTATTAAAAATTAATAAAATATTCTTGGCCCATGGCGCTGAAGTCCAAAATTTTAACTATGACATTAGACACCTTCACATAAAATTTGGACACCCACCTGTTTATTATAATTACCTTAGTAAAATTGATGGAGCTCTAGTCTTTTACCTAACGACCATTTTTTTTTTTTTTATTCAACAACAAATTCAATTTATAGATTTAAATTTTATATTGCTAATATAGGAACTATTATATTAATATACAATGTACATCACTCAAAAATTAAAGAACAAAATCTAGTTTTCTTGATTTTTTGCTCAATTCATTTAAAACTTCTTCTGCTGTTAGTGGAATTTCTTTATGATCAGCTAACATAGCTATAAGCCATTAAGTCGAGTCTAAAACCAAAAAAAATTTTAAAAAAATTGATATAAATTTTTATTTTAATATCCAGAAAATACTTCAGTCATTGTGTTTCGTAGATAATATTTAAAAACTTTTGAGACAAGAAAACGTTCCCTCGAGAGTCGAGGGTAGATGTTGAAACATGTTGCAGCCTAGCTAATAACAGGCACAACCTTATTAGTGGAACTAAAGTTAGTTCTATACACCCAAAACCGTATTTTTTAAGCCCCCCCTCCACAATGAAATATTTATATAATTTAAAAAAAAGGCTAAATTATCTATTTACAAAAATAATCTACAGTAACATCAGAAATATTATTCATCTACAGCCTTGGATTACATCACCTAACTACAAATCAAAAATAATACAACAATAATATCAATAATACCCAGATGCGTACTATACCGTCGTCGCCTGTCTCAAGTCTTTATAAGTAGGTTTTTTCGATTTCGGAAGTCAGGAAATCAATCTTTGTAAGTAAATGCCAAATGGTAATTATAACGATACCCACAAAAAAATTAAGTTTTAAAAAGAAATGTTGAAACCCTTCTGTTTTAAAATTCGGTTGACCAGCACCTTTCAAAAATTGCAGGGGCAGCCCTGGCACCCTAGGCTGCCACCGTAGACACGCCTATGGGTAAAGTGCATAGTATTTTTAATAGAAAATGTATACTGAGAAATATTTCTTTATCACTCTGTCGCAACGCTTCTAAACAATTTTTCGGACATTTTACATGTTTATTAAGTTTGGTATACCATATATGTAGTACAGTTTTAACTGTTAGCTTGTCAGTATCGAGATAAAATTCAACAAGTTCATCAAAGTTTTCTGAATAAGTTCCAGAAAATAATACGAATTATTATTTTTAATAAACGAATTGGAAAATTGTATGATAATATAATTCGACAAGTACATTATAAAGATGCATTATTTGTTTTATAATAGAAAATAAAAATAATACTGTCAATGGCGGGGTTTGAACCCCATGACCCCCCTCCCCCGTGAGCACGCCCCAGTTACCAGTTGAAAAAAATTAAAAATACATAGGAACAATTTTTTTAGTAAGCATTCAAAGTACGAATTTTGACAAAATTTATCAAATTTAAAATTGAATAATAATTTTGTATTTAAAAATGTATAAAGTGTTCAACTTTTATAGATAGGATTGAAAATTTAAAACAAAGTTCTACTTAAACAGGTTATAATTTATAAATTATTTTATTCACAATTGTATTATTAAATATACTTAGTAATATCATACTAAGTATCGTAGTATCGTACTATATATCTTAGTGTTACTAACTGACCGTCTATAAGGTACTCAGAATCAGAACCCAATCCCCCATGTCACTGGAGCCGCACCTAATATCATTGAATTCAAATTTAACACCATTTTAGCATTTTCCTACGATTACGATTTACAGGGAGTAGTGACCCACTAATGCACGGTCTTAGAAAACAGAAGATCTTGTAACTTGTAACTTGTAACTTGTAAGACCGTGCACTAATGTCTAATGTAACTTATTGTACAGTATGACAACAGTACAACACACTTCAACCTGCTCACCTTTTCTTTCATGTGTGACAATTTTTTGCTGACAAGTGTTGGCTACACTGACGATAATTTTATTATATAGATACCATGTTTACACCAAAATGTGTGATATATTTTGAATTTTAGGTTAGTGTTATTCCATGCTCTTTTCAAAACTTTACCGTCAATCCGCCATATACTGCTATAGTGATTGCCGGCTGTTGAGTGGTTTTTGTTTTCGTTTCGCTTCGCCATCCGGAAAAGGCCTTCCGCGTTGGACGTGCAAATAGCCACTTCGATTATTTCATTTTTCCGTAAATACTAAACACACTATATTATACAATGGGTAAGTAATTTATTTTTAATTCTATAATACACATGGACACTTGTAATCGTGTTGTTTATAAATTTAAACACGTTTTTGTGTTTGTTATTGATTATTACTTTTACTGATTTTGTATTTTATATTTTAGGTTTTGACCGTGGTGGCCGTGGTGGTGGTCGAGGAAGAGGTGGCGGTGGAGCTCCTCGATTTTCAGGAGGCGGTGGACGTGGTGGTTTTGGCGGTGGTGGTGGTTTTGGCGGCGGTGGTCGTGGTGGCGGCGGTGGTCGAGGAGGCGGCGGTGGTTTCCGTGGACGAGGTGCTGGCGGTCGTGGTGGAGGTGGCCGAGGTGGTGGTGGAAGGCCATCTGGAGGACCTGGAGGCTTCAAAGGCGGTAAAAAAGTTATAATTGAGCCTCATCGTCATGCCGGAGTATTTGTTGCCCGTGGCAAAGAAGATGCACTTGTCACCAAAAACATGATTCCTGGAGAAACCATTTATGGTGAAAAGAGAATTAGTGTTGATCAGGTACATAACAAAAACAAAAGTAGTATTTATATATTTATGACATTACTTAATGTTCTTTTGTAATTTCAGACTGAAGGAGACAAAATTGAGTACCGTGTATGGAATCCATTTAGATCAAAATTAGCTGCTGCTATATTAGGTGGTATTGATGAAATCCATATGCCACCTGGCTCTAAAGTATTATATTTAGGTGCTGCTAGTGGAACGACAGTATCTCATGTTTCTGATGTTGTTGGACCTGTAAGTTTTTATAATAACTAAATAATATGATTCAAATTTCTGAATTAATTGGTTGTTTATAGGAAGGCCTTGTTTATGCAGTAGAATTCTCACACAGATCCGGTCGTGATTTGATTAATGTTGCTAAGAAAAGAACTAATATCATTCCTATCATTGAAGACGCACGACATCCACATAAATACAGAATGTTAATTGGAATGGTAGATACAATTTTTGCTGATGTAGCTCAACCTGATCAAGCTAGAATTGTTTCAATTAATGCACAATATTTTTTAAAGAACGAAGGTCATTTTGTAATATCTATTAAAGTAAGTCATTAATATTTATTTTGAATATTTATACTGAGCATATTAATAATTTTTATACTTTTTTTAGGCAAATTGTATTGACAGTACTGCTGAACCAGCCGCTGTATTTGCACAAGAAATCGAGAAACTTAAAACTGATAAGCTGAAACCAACTGAACAGCTTACACTGGAGCCCTATGAAAGAGATCACGCTGTTGTAGTAGGCGTATTTAGACCAGTTCCAAAGGGAAAGTAAACTTCAATTAAATGATTTTTAATACATAACAAGTTTTTGTACAAATACTCGATGAAACCAATGTTTTTACTTTAAAAATATAAGTATTTTTAAACATTTTATTGCTAATAAAAATTGGATTTTAATTTTATAATATACAACTAATTTGTATTTGTTGATTTTTGATAGTGTTTAGGTATATACTATAATATCTCTATACCTATATATCTCTATATCTTCTATGCTATAATATGTAACATAAATTATTTTACTAGTTTCCAATATTATTACTTATTATTTCTTGTACTTGTTTATTATCATCCCGCCACCTTAATGTTGGTTTTAATATAAATTATACTTAATACTGTATTACAAATATGTCTGGTAAAACTGCAATTCACAACATTAAGGATGCATTAGTCGCAGCAAATGAGACTACACATGCATGAACTGCTACACTTTTCCATCGTGAGTTTTTGCCAGACTTATTTGGAATAAAGTATACACAACATACAATATAGCATCTGGCCAACAATATAAAAAAATATTAAGAGATGTATATTTTGCCCTTTTTCGAAATTAGTGTATACGTAAATAATCTAGATACAAAGAAATATATCATAAAAATGTTTTACATTATATGATCTAGTCAGTCAACGACAAAGAAGTTCTAAATTCTTTTACTTCCTTAAAACAGGCAATCACGTCACACAATCCTTCTTTTGTCACTGATGGTATCTAATTTAAAATGATTGTTGAAACAACTGGTATTTAATACTATCAATTGTTTTGCTCAAAATGTTAAATTGCTGACCAATTACAAATTTCAATCAAATTAATTAGGTGATACCATTTGGATGTAAATATATATCTTTTAAGTTATATTTTATTTGTCAAATTATCAATTTTGTGTTTAGTTGGATCAATAGGTATTCTGGTTTGTTCGTTTTTGGTCTACCACTGGTTTTTTTTTACCTAATTAAGATTTTGATTAATATATAAATCTAAATAATAATACATATTAATAGCCAGCTGTTATCTAAATACAATAATTTATTTTTATTATTTTTTTTACATTATTAACACCTATATTATATAAAATATTTAAATTATTTATAATATTATTTTAAGTACAATATGAATTTGCATCTCTTAGAAAATATTCGAATATTTTGTCTTTATCAGACACCATTACACCAATATTGACCATCATTCTGCTAAATATGAGTAGGTATCAATATGAATAAGTCCATTTTCATTAAAAAAACATAATATTATCCTCAAACTGAATAATTAAGTTTATTTATTTTGCTAATTAACAACTGTGATTAAAACAAAGTTTGATCTCGACTCGATAGTATTTTACTAGACCATCAGTTGTAGCTGACTTTCCCGATGTCCCACCTATAGCACAGTGAGCCGGTACCAGCTTATAAGTATTGGGCAGCATTGCAGCAAGCAAAGATAATATGATATTTATTTATTATTTTTGTATTATGTTATATATCTAATATTTTATTATATTGGACGTTTCATTCTGCGGCAAACTTTCCTTGCCTCATTACAAACCATGATAAATTAAATTTGTCATGTTACAAACTAAATATTAGCATTGATATTTGATTGTTAAATACTATAGTTGTACTAGTATTTATAATCACTAATAGTTGGTACATTATATAGAAATAAGGGAATGGAATCCAAAATATTCGAACTGGAACCCATATTTCTAAATAATCAAAAATTTGAAAATGTTAACTAAGATTATTTTGTGTTAACTTCCGTTGCCTGAGCTCAATTTTTTGGGCATTAAAAGTGATTTCATAAACTATGTTTGCTTTTTTTAAGAGTTGTAAAATATGGAACCAGAGCCATTAAATTAAATTTTCGAAAAACCAAAACCCAATAATAAAAGTCGGAAAGTACTGGTACCGGAACCTAGTTCTCAGTCTTTCCATGTATATAATGCATAGACGTCCTATCAACTATTATAAGCTCTATCCATTAGTTTATAGGTCTACGGCATAGACATATAAATACATTTATAAATATATATATTTATAATATGTCTATGGTCTGCGGTATAATGTATATAGTAGATTATTATCTAGGCTCTCTAGTAGGGACGTAGGCGCGTAGGGTACAACACGAGGGTCCTACTTGTTCATACACTTACACTCATTGCGACGTCGGACGTACCCCTATGGCCTATGGGTTTATGTTATCACCAATCACGCTCTATTGTTTATTATCAACATTTTTCTGGCGCAAAATCACAGACATGGTATCCACAGATAATAAAAAGATAAATATATTTTATCTATATATGTAGGTATTCACTATTCACCTTGCTTGGTTTTTTGATTTTACGACTTACGTTATAGTTGAATTTTTCATATTATTATCATTGAGTATACTATCATTTATGTTTAAATTGTTCTGTGTTCATGATTTGTGTGAACATCCAAATATTTTTGAAAATTTGAAATTTTATTTATGTTTTTCTTGTCACTTTTATGTTTATTTCAAAAGAGTTTAATAAAATATGTCTGTTGTGTCGTTTGTGCCCAATTGCTAATTTTGCCTGCCGTCTTTCCACAACAGTCATGTATCGGTAAGTATCTTTTAAAAACATTCATCTACCATCTCTCAATCAGAAATAAACGATTTTCAGGCCCAAACATGAAGGATTACATAAATTTTATTAGACCTTTAGTGCACCTCAAACATAACAGTGAGATACAACAATTTACAATTCCCTACCTTGTAGGTAATAGTCTTTAATATTTTTTAACTTTGCTTTTATATTTTAGCCAATTACAAGTCATTTCATTTTAGTTTGCTATCATATAATATACTAGCTCAAGAGTTGCTAGAAAAAAATGCTTTTTTATATGATTGGTCGGATGACCGTGTGTTGAACTGGGACTATCGAAGACAACTTTTGTTGAATGAAATAAAACAATTTAATGCAGATGTAAGTATTTATGAGTATTTATAAATGTTATAGTTTTAATTTTTCATGTCAAATTAAGATGTAATCGTTATACATTTAAACATAGGGATACCCAAACATATTTTATTAAAAATAAGAAAAAACAAATATTTTAGTTTTCTAAAAAACTTATTTTGTTAATTGGTGCAACTAAAAAAAACGTACCATAGATATACAAAAGTTGAGCGTAAGTCCACAATATTTTTTGATGAGCATCTGATTTGATGAGTTATTATAGAAGTATTAATTTTTTTTTTTTTTCTTCAAATGTCAATAAATTTCTGAATTATCTTTTCTAGATACGTACTGATGAGGTTTTAATTTATGGCACCCAAATCCCTAGTGCTCTAAGTACTAAATACCTTGGTTTGACTGTCTATATGAGGCTGACCTGGGCCCACCAAATCAAAGAAAAAAAGAGTTAAATTAAATCTACAATTTTGTCTATTAAAAAGCCTAATTTTTAATAATAAATATACACATATTAATACTAAGCTTCTCATCTATAAATCTTTACTTAAGCCTATGTGGACATATGTACTGCAACTATGGGGAAACGCAAAAAAGTCTAAAATAAAAAAAAAAAATATAAACTTTCCAAAATATAACACTTCATAAATTTTTAAATGCCCCTTCCTACGTATCTAACCATACTATCCATTCAGATCTAAAAATTTCACTAGTTCATGATGAGGCTAAATCCTATTACAAAAGATTCTACCTACGCTTACCATCTCATCCCTTAAAACAGTTATAAATTACGCAATAAATACAGTTAAACTCTCCTAAGACGAGTTCAAACGACCAGCTCAAAAGAGCATCTTAAGTGGGAATCAAAAAAATACATATAAAGGTGTTTAAAATATTGAGCTTATATTTTATTTGTCATGTATGTATCATAAAATTATCAAGCTTATTAATATAATAATTTACATTAAAAAAATATCAAAAATACATAGGTAAATAATTTTGTAATTTTTTTAAGTGCTTGGAAAGAAAGAGTTTATTTTTGTTTGATTAACATTCTGAGTATGTGCTTCAAAGTTTTCAATTACCATACTAATTTATCGTTATCTGCTGATCAAAAGAGCTTCTGATTCGATTACATAAAGAAAAACCAAGCGTCTTAATAAGTTGTTCTTACATTAAGTGAAAGCTTGATAATAGACGAGTTCATTCTAATATTAAAAGTAATAACACAGGGTTGGTTCTGATAAACAAAATTATCTATGTTGCGTATGGGTCAGAGAAAGAAAATAATTGGTGTGCTGACATCCTTTAAACTATAGCAAATAAAATCAGTACCAGGCACCCAATGAGCCAAGTTGTCCGCATGGAAGTGGCTTTGTTCCAAATGTTGATCCAGGTGGTGGTTGACATGGTGGGAGAAACATCTGAATGCTAATACAAACTGGGCCAGGGATATGGGCCATCAAAAACCAAAAGTCCCCCAAAAAATAGGTATATGCTATTATAAATAATAACTATATCATTTTCTAAACTCTGGAGCCCTCTCACTGCCAAGCCAATTTCCATAAGGCTTTGAAACTGACACGGTTGGATCCGCAGATGTCTCTCCTATTATAATTGGTAATAAGAAGAGCTAATCTCACAGTGCTTTTCGATTGTGTAGTGATAAAACAATCTGATGAAAACCGGTCGCTGCCCAGTACTGACCTTATTTGCAACTGAGTATAGTATTGGAAATGAGTAGTGACCGGCAAAAAACTGTGTCTTAAGTGAGTTTTACTATATATTATATTTTATGATAAGTGATAACTAATAAGCAATTATTTAAAAATTATACCCAAAGAATAAAGACTAGCTTTAATTTTTATTCCCCTTTAGTTTGGTAGTTAGGCTAATAAAATTTATGTTTGATTTACCAAGTAATACAAATGTGAAGTTCTCTTGAGAACTGTAAATCTAATTCTGTAATCATTAATTGATAAATTATCTTAAATCAACTACCTATAATAATATTATATGTTTATTACAACAACTATGTTTATTTATCCAGGTTTATGTATTTTCAGATTATTCACTAAAAAATTACATACCTAATGTGTTATGAATAATTTTTATATAATCATAACTTATGTCTTATACTATACATTTTTTGTTCTAGATAATTTGTTTTCAAGAAGTTCAAGAGTCTCATTTAAATTGGTTCTTTAAGAAATTATCAGATTTAGGTAAATTACCTAAAAATTACCTATTACAATAAATTAAAAAACTATTTAATATGAGATACTCATGCAGTATGCTACTTACCTTTACTTTGTTGCTGTAGTATGCTACATATAAAAAAAGTTTACGAGTGTTTACTATTTTTACATACTGATTAATAACAATTTATTTAGCTAAAATGTTTTTAATGTATTGATGATCATCATTGTTAAGTATTTTTATACGTATTATATTGTTATGCTGTGTTTACGTTATCCCAGAAGTATTCAAATATATTGACAATTTTCGTGTTGTGTTTAAATTATTGACCGCCCCCATTCTCTTTTAGTTGGCGGTCTAACATATCTATTGCATAAGTGCTTAACATAAAAGTAAGTTATTATAGAGCTTGGTGGATATTTACCGGTAATTAACTAGATAGTTACCAGTATAAATGTATAATTTTATTGATAGTTAGCTCTTATAATATTGTAAGACCAAAGACCATTATAATGTTTTTTATCTTAATAACTCAAGTGACAGGTACTTGCCCATAATAAATCACTAAATAAAAATATAATACATATAAGAGTAGACATGTCATACTTTCTAGTAGGTAGCATACTGCACGTGTACAGTTTTTTGGTATGTAGCATTTTACGGTAGTTAGCATGCTACATGAGTACCTAATATGATATAGATGCAAATGATAACAAATTATAAAATTGCATTATTTATTTTAGGGTATAATGGTGTCTATAAAAAACGAACTCGTTTTCATTGTGATGGCTGTGCTATATATTACAGAAATGACAAGTTTACATTAAAAGAAAAGGTCACTGTAGAATACAATCAACCAGGAGTAAATGTATTAGATCGAGATAATGTGGGTATTGTGTTGAGATTGTCACCACGGAGAAATGAAGCAGAAAATATAATTGTTTCGACTACACATATCTTGTACAACAAAAAAAGGCATGATATTAAATTGGCACAAGTTCATTTATTACTAGCTGAAATTGAGCGTGTTGCATATAAAGGGTACAAAAAGTAATATAGATTCTCATTATAAATTTATTCTAATAAGTAATAATAACTATATTTTTTTTAATTATTTCTTTTGTAGAGTTGGTGATGATAATATTCCTGAATACCATCCAATAATTTTGACTGGGGATTTCAACTTGGAACCTAATACTGCTGTTTATGATTTTTTAATCAATGGTGCTCTATTCTACAGTAATTTACAAAAACCAACGCTTTGGACTCAAAATAATCAAAGTGGAAGATGTAACATGGGAAATGAACTTATTCCAAAGAGTTTAGGCATCACTGAATATAGTCAGCATTCAGACATTTTAGAGTTAAGAAAAATAAATAATCATAAACGACAAATTAATGACGGTCTTTATTCAAAGGTAACTTAAAAATATTAGTTAAAAAAAAAATTACAATATTTTCATAACCATGAAAAACATATTACTTATACATTTAAATTTTTTTTCGGATTATGTCAGCTACATCATACTGAAAGAAAAAATGAACAACTATTATCATCACCGTCATCAGAATTCAAGTATTTAAATTACATTTATAATATTTCAATAGTTTTAAGTTTTAATAAATAAATTATTTTTTAGATTTGGGTCTGGAAACTTGTATCATAACCTTAAGTTTTCTTCTGTATATAATAACAATAATAGCTGTTCTACATATCATGACCAATGGACTATTGTAGATTACATATTTTACACGTAAGATAATAACAAATTTATGACATACATTATCCTTATATTTTTAATTACTATAACATCTAAAATAATTCATTCAATTTGTTGATGGTTATAGCAGTACAAATTTAAAACTGAGAGCTTATATGAAGCTTCCAAATGTTGCTGAATGCCAACCAATATTATCTATGCCAAACAGAGTATCTCCGTCTGATCATCTACCACTGTTTGCTAAATTTATCTATCAAATAAAATAATATTTTTGGTATTTGAACTCCAGTGTGATCTTGTTTTTTATTTTTATTTAATATGTATTATAATTCCTACATTGAGTACATAATTACTAATTAAAATTATCAAATCTATGTGTATAATATTTAGTTTTAACACCTTCTTGAGTTGTGTTTAATTACCAAAGAAAGGCATTTTTAATTAATTTATTTATTTATTAAAAAGCATTCTCGAATATCGATCATTTATAAGAACTTGTAGTTTTATGTTCATGATTAATTAACAGAATAATATTTATTAAAGCTAAATAGGTGCACATTGCTAATCACTCTGAAATCTAGAGGTATCACGCCTTTTTAAGTCATTACTGAACATTATTTTTTTAATAAAATAACGTAATTTTCTTTAATTTTTATTAATTTTCTGATGTGTATTTCAGCAAGTATCTTTAATTTTTATATTCTGAAGTAGAATATCATTTTTGAGTATTTCAGTTTTTAGGTATCATTAATAATTACTAATTAGCATAATTATGCAATTCTATAAGAATAAAAACGTGGACATTCAACATGATTTACAAGAAAACATTTTTTTTTTTTTTTTGGAATATTTTAGAATTTTTTGTTCTTAAGAATTATTTTGTTTCTATAGCTTATTTGGCAATAATGTATTAATTGTAAGACAAACAACTACAATATTTTGATTTACAATTTTTATTATTATTATTTTGAGTACAATACAAATTTTAGATTCTGAGAGGAGTGATGAATGTATTGATTTTACAATGATGTCCTCTAGACTACCCCCCTCCTACTACCACTTGAAGTTACAGCCTTGTGCAGTCTATCATACTTTAAATTAGGTAACAGAAATGTTGTAGGTATGACATATGTGCTGACGTGCCGTATGTCGCAATACAATCGTATTATTATTCAATAACCAGGTTAAGAAAACATTTACCTAATAAGTGGGCCGGAAGCGGAACTATTGATGCATTTGCACCTTTTTTTATAAATTCTAATGCACTCTAATTACATTCTAGGCACGTCTTCCCAGCAATTTGATTCATGGAATATAGAATTTATTGCTAGAGTTTTATTTTTACCATAGGCGTGCGCAGCCTCCGGTTTCAGGGGCAGCAAGAGATTAATTCGGCCCATTTTTCAAATTCACCATTAAAACCAGCCCATAGTTTTACTTTTTTTACTATTGGATATCAAAATTAAAATTGTATTAGTTATTTGTTTTTTTGGATAAAAGGTTGTATAGTAAGGTACTAAGCCACTAAAGGTGTACTTTTCTACAAGCCTATATAAAATATTCATCTATAGTTTATTAAAACAAAAAAAAATTTTGTGGAAATATAATTTTACCGAGGCCCATTATTTAATATTTGCCGGCCCCGGTGGCCCCAAAGAAAGTCCAGGGGCAGCATATGCTGCCTCTGCTGCCCCCGTGCGCACGCCTATGATTTTTACATTTTTAGGGAATTTATGAATCTTCAGTATTCTTGGTGCATTTTATTAATTTTTGTACTTTTTTCACATATATTTGCATTTTTCTTTTTGAAAGGTACACTTTGTTGTAATACATTCAGTTACCATTAGCTTGTCAATTATCGACGTTATTTTCATTAATATTTTTATAGTTTGTTGTCGCAATCTATGATTATTTAATAAACTGTAGGCAGATACTATTTTAGGCCTGGTCAATCAGAAAAAATCAACTTATTTCAAATTATAAAAAAATATTATTGAAAGCTCCTTCGAGAGTGCCTAAACTTTTTTAAAAAACATCTATAATGATTATGATTTATGATATATGAATTGTATAAAACGTAAATTTTTAAAAATGTTAAGTCATTATAAAGTTATTTTTGGTATTTTTGTGGTCATTTTTTAAAAATCTTTAATCATTAAGTTCCGGGCCCTAGTAATAAATAAAAAGTAACAAAACTCGCACTTAGCGGCTAGTGATCTCCTTAGTCACTTATATTAGTAATTAGTATGAAAATATCACAATTCACAATATTGTTACTATTTTTGACAAACTATGTGTAGGTAGGTACTTTTAATGTATTTATTTTATATTGTGGATACTAGTGTACAGTGGTATTTACACTTGGTAAATAAATGTATTGGTTTAAAACACCTTTATAATAAAATACCTAACTGAACCTAACCCACACATTTTTTCTCCAAACTCAATATATACTCAAAATAAAAATAAAAATGGATACTCAAAATATATAGTATAACTAGCTTAATAAAACCAGACATTTATTTTATGGGTACCCTTCTTCACAGTGTTTGTGTTACAATTGTATCAATTATAATATTGTGGGACTACAAAACCACATCAAACATTCTTGGAAATTAAACATTAGTACAATACTGAAAAAATATAAAATATATATAATTTACTTCGGTGTATAGGCGCTTATATTTAATGTTGGCAGGCCAAAGAAGGAGTTTTAAAAAAAAGTTGGTGCAAATGTACACCCTGCAATCCCCCAAATGACGCCACTGTACTTAAGTTTATTACTCGGACAATTTTTACAAATTATAAAATATTAATTAGTATAAATTGTATATTTTCATATGATCATAGCCTAACCTAAACTATTACCATGGACGGATGGAAGATGGACCTATCAATGGCGGATCCACGGCTAATTTTTTTTTTTTTGGGGGGGGGGCAAAAGTACAAAAAATAAAAAGTTGGCTACCTATATACAGTAAAATAATGAGAAAATAAAGTGATTGATGGGGAGGCAAAAGCCCCCTTTGTCCCTCCCCTCTAGATCCACCACTGGGACCTATCATACCTATAGGTAGTTACTACTTAGTAGACGAAGTTGAATAACACAGCACGACTCATTCAAATTTCAATATGCATCATACAAAAATATTTCATCGCCGCCTAGGTTTATAAAATATTCACAATTTTTTTTTACACTAGGGAATTATTTGAACATTGTTTGCCGGGAACGCGTAGTTTGTCTTCCATGACTACACATCGTTGATTCCTTGGTGGTGGTAATCACACCAAAATATTGCCGACTTATCGTATGTGCGTCTGTCTCTTTTTTTGCTGTTGTGTCGCCCAAATCAAAGGCTCAGTACTTTTTTTGAATCAAAAAAGAATACTAGGCTTCTCTATATTTCTCTTTTTTTTTTAACTTATATTTTTAAGTAGTATAGTTCATTTTGTTATTCGTTCTGTTAACAAAGTAAGTAAAACGTCTTTACATTTTACGCGTTTGCCCGTCTAAAGCTACTGTTTAGCTGCACAAAACAACTCACGAGGTTTTTTAGGTTAAATTCTGTTAACAGGATGTCATCAATACTGGCATACTGCTGACTACAGATCACGACTGAACAATATTTCTCCGTGTAATTTAGATTTCTTTGTGTTTGTAGTATTTTGAATAATGGCTGACATCGAAGATACTCACTTTGATACCGGAGACTCTGGTGCTTCAACCACATACCCCATGCAATGTTCAGCTTTGCGAAAGAATGGTTTCGTTATGTTAAAAGTAATGCCTAACACCGCTCAAACTACTATGTATTATTAACCATTTTATTATATGTTAAGCGATCAATTCATTCGTCAATTATTTTTAATTAAAAAATTTTAAGCCAAATTTTCGAAATAAATACATTTATTAACGAAATCAATTTTTACCTCATGTAGTATTTACATGAATACTTTCACTTTAACGTATAGATATCTGTTGCTTTTTATTTCAATTCATATAATTAATCAAAAAATATACCTAATATACTTAAATGTTTAATGTATATATACCTATAAGAGATCATTTAAACATATTACAATTCGTTGAAATGATTGTTTATCATTTAAAATGTAAACATTTAAATTTTTTTTATAACAATGTGGTTATTAAAATGTTTTGAAGCTTTTCATCTATTATTAATTGTATGTGTGCTGAATACTTTTTATTTGTTTATTTATATGAATTAAATTGTTTTAAAGGCTCGCCCGTGCAAAATTGTGGATATGTCCACATCAAAGACTGGTAAGCACGGACACGCTAAGGTCCATTTAGTTGGCCTAGATATTTTTTCTGGTAAGAAATATGAAGATATATGCCCGTCAACTCACAATATGGATGTTCCATTTGTCAAACGTGAAGATTATCAGGTAATTATTTTCCAATGATGTATTAAATTTTTCATTCATAAGTGAGCCCTCCATGTGTGTTAATGATAGGTATACTGTTAAACTATTTATCTGTAATCTTTTTTTTTATACATAAATATTAGTCGCACAATAAGCATATGTGTCATGTATGATACTTGAAAAAAAAACTGGCAGAAAAGAGATAGAGAAATCACCTATTGATGGCTCTATTATATATGTTGATTAATTATTATTTTGAGAGATCATGACACCACTAATTAAGCTATAGGTGTCTATGAGGAATTGATTATAAGGCTAAATTTTTAATTAGTGAATTTGGATGAGATATTAAAATACAATAGACGTTATTAAGCTTTTTTGTAGTATATAGTTTTTTTAAAATGAGATCATACCTTAGAGGCGGCCAGTTTTTGTCCGCAAATAGTCAGTTGCCGGAACCTTACAACTGGAACAGTCACGCCCATGCACGCAAGTTGGCCACAGAGGTATGATCTCATTTTAAATCTAATATTGCATTTCTTATTTGTTATTTGTTATTTCAGATCAAAAAGTTTGCAGTGTAGGAAGGGTACTTGTTAGTTTTCTGATGACATTGTTATGAACAGATTATATTTGATTATTTTTTAATCCCCTCAACTAAAGTCCAAAATTTCAAATTAGTTGTAATATAGTTTCCTACATGTCATGTATCTACAATCTAAGGTTTTTAGATTAATAAATATAAGTCAAGAGAAGTAAATTACCTATTATATGACCATATTATGTAAAATAATAATTTTATGCTGAGATAAATTAATGTACACAGGCACAGAAATGTAATTCCTTTTATTTAGGTTTTACGTCTAAAATCTAAATATTTTAGCAGTTATTAATTACTCTATAAATATATTTTTATGTTTTATATAAATGCAAATTATAAATAATACATTTTTAAATGTACTTTTCTGTTTTAATCAGTTGACTGATATATCAGATGATGGCTATTTATGTTTGATGTCTGACAATGGTGATTTGCGCGAAGACTTGAAGATTCCTGAAGCTGAAATTGGTCAACAATTGAAAAATGAATACGATGCTGGTAAAGAGCTTTTGGTAAGTAAAAAAACAATTTTGCATATATTGTGTAGAATCTGTAATATTTATTAGATAAGTTACAAATATTAATATGTGATTTTCTAATTATTCATTATGGAGTCTATAATAATAATGTGCGTTCTTTGTTTTCAGTGTACCGTATTGAAATCCTGTGGCGAAGAATGTGTGATTGCCATTAAGACAAACACTGCTTTGGACAAATAATGCTCACAAATGACAAAGCGTCAGAAGAGTAAAACATTTCTTTTAATATATTTTTTTTTTTTTTTCTTAGTGGCTAAATAATTTTCAAATTCTCTTTTTAATAATTAAACCCTAGAAAAATAATAATTACTTGTAAACTGATTTAATAATGTAATTAAACAATCAGTCTTCAGATTATTTACACTATGATTAAAAATATTATGGTACTTATATTAAGGGAAAATAAACATTGTTTTTACTTTTTAAAAAGTTGTTAAAGTATGAACTATGGGTTAAACCAGATTTTGAAATATAAATAACCAAGTCACTAATGTTAATTTATTGAATTGTAGTTACATTTGATCATTGTGTTGCTTTCCTTATTCCTTCCTAATGCAATAATGAAAAGATTTACTTTGTAAAAGTTAACAACCATAAAACATTTTCCAAATAATCTATACGTTAGTACTAAATATTTAATTACTAATAAGTTTAATTATTAAATATTAATTCAAGTATGTATTGAAAATTGGGAGGTTCATAAATTAAATATTTTAATACTATTTAGTATTTTTCAAACAAACAATAATGTTAATTACTATGAAACATCTAATTATGTAAAACTAAAATAGAAATAGGTTATTTATTTTAATAATTGTTTAAAAGCTGGATTATACTTATAGAAAAAAAATGTTTTAAAAGATATTTTAGTCAATTAAAATCAAATATTTTGAATCCAATTAGGCACCACTCATATACCATTCTTGAGGTGTTCATTGAATTTTTAAAATTGAAATAGTATTAACAATTATTTAATTTTAATTATATAGTTTTGATAACTGATAAATGTCTGGATTATTTTATGCAATTTAAATACTTTTGATGAGATTTAAGACTTCGATTTGAAGGTATTATAATATATAATCTAGCTATGACTTCTAAGCAAAAAAATTGATATAATATTATGATGCATACACAATTACCTAGATAAGAATAAATTCATAAAATATATAACAAGTATTATAGTACTTAATTTTAATATCAAAATTTGTATATATAATATGTAATATGTATCTATTCATTATTTAAATACTTTAATTTTATTTTGCTGAAAGTTATTAAAGAATAAATCAATATTTTATTAGAAAGGACTTGCATTTATATATATATAGATAAGTCATTACTAGTAATCAAAATTTTTCTTATTAACATAATTACATTGGCTTTTATAATTTGTATGATATCTTGTACTTTTTTTACCTTTTTGAACTACTTATATTATAGAAGAAAATTCTTATATATATTAGCTTACAAATTGTTTATCAAATATTTATTATTGGAAATTTTCTTGTATCTTGTGATACATTTTTTTATAAAAACCTTTACATTTTAAGATAATTATAAAATTACTTTTTGATTTCTGTTGTATTTTTTTTTATTAGTTTTCTTAGCTGATTTGCACATGGAGTAGCAGTAGGTAGTAGGTACTGCATTTTGAATCCTTCCCAGTATTTATATTCTTCTGATCAGCCATTGTATTTATTTGTTTTTAATTATGATTTTGTACTGTTAAATAGTTTAAAAAAATGAAATTGGTACTACAATAGTCAATATGATTAACATATAGTAGGTAAAATCAATTTAAATATATAAATTTTAACCAATAATTAAGTACATAATACCTATTACAGGTATTTTTTGACTATGTTGGGGAGGGATTTCCCATAGCAACTGATACTTTAATTTGAAATTTTAAGATGAGAATGGTGAAATTAAAATTAAGTTCACTTATTTTATTCTATGTGTATGTAGGGGTTCAAGTGGGAGAGATGCAGGAGCACTCAGTCACCCTACCTCTGACGGCGATTAAAAAGTGTCCCCTTTAATAAATTAGAATTGTATGCATAAAATTTTATATTTAACGCTTAAAAATATGTGGAGACATTAGTCCCCTATGGAATTTTTTCCTCTGTGTGTATGTATACTCGTAGGTGGAAATCAATGGGTGCTTGTAAGGACTTAGCCCCCCATGGACAAATAGCATTTACTTGTGTGGAATCGGAGCTCACATTGATGTTCAAAATGTTATCTCCCCGACCCCTGAAAATCTAATTTATTTCCGCCTATGGGTATGTTGTCTAATTTGGGTACTTTTTCAAGATACTGTGGTAGTGGAAAGATATGTACGAGAATGTATTATAAAATTATGTACCATGTGAATTTTGTGTTTTCCGCGTTTAGTAGTCAGTCGTCATGCACCTATTATTAACGTCCGCCCACGTCTTTAATCTGCTAATAATATAATACATATAAGTGGTCCGGCGGTTTCCTCCTACCAATTGGCGATGACTAATTGACTGGTCTAATGGAATATAATGTATTATCGTTATATTATATTACATACAATATGTGTTATATATTCCAATAATACTTTTAGTACGAAAACTATACGATGTCATGTTTTTTGGTACATATTTTTATACCTACCTAGTGCCCTAATACTAGAATATTATTGGTATCAATGGTGTTGTATGTGAATTGTGAGTAGCCAGTTGTAGGTGAGTAGGTGACCAATGACCATTATGCAATACCCAATTTATTATTTTGGTTATAGTATTGTCGCAAGTTCAGCTTATTTCAATCGGACTTTGGACATTTTACAGGCGTGCAAATAATGGGAAATAATATATTAATATAGGACACTGGATGAAAAACCGCAATTGTGAATTGGTACGAATAATAAAAAATATACTATAAAAAATAAAATATATATTATATAATATAGGTATATAGTAAGTTGTAGGACGTACATATAGGTATACTAGGTCATTATAGCAGTAAATACTAAATTACATAATATTGTAGTTCAATTATTAGGCCGTTCAGTTGACCTGTTGATTGACTTTGAAAAATCCTCAGTTTAAAGCTGCAATATTCTCATCGGTTCTCGAATTTTCCGTACAGGGATAGAACTCGTCGCGGCCCGACGAAGATCGGTTCTTCTGCTCATCCGTGCAGCGCGACCATAGAAAAAAGATTGAGTAAGTCATTCCACGGTCGTACGGAGAATCGGAGCGTTCTCTCGCCGTACAGGGTATAATATATGCCGAGCTGTTTACTCATTGACATCATAATTGAATTTTTTGGTGGGGACTTAAGCCCTTAAAATGATAATATATTATATCGAGTAGTTAGTACCATGTACTGAATTTTGAATTCAGCAGACATTTGAGGGGACTAACCTCCCCTTCCCACAAATTTGCTCCAATGCTCATGAGGGTATCGGTATTTCGTATTTCCTATTGATTATAATGTAGGTACGTCGTATATTCCACAGCTCAATATTCATTACTGTAGAACAGTTTATAACAATTTAATAGCCACCTAGATTTGGAGAATCTGTATAAAAGTTTTCTGCTCGAGAACCTTAACAAGTAATCACTAAATTGCCAAAATTTTAAGTCAATTTAAAATGTTCATATTCTTTACCCTTAACCTATACCTAATAATTGGCTCCATCTCCAGCTATTGATTTTTAAGTGAAACTTTGTATTGCTCCCTTAAATAATGATGTTTAACCGTTAGGCCAAGCATTAATTTCCTTTGTGTTTCGCGTGGACGTAATTCAGTAATAACTACTATACCATATATTCTGAGATTTTAGTGCAGTGGCGAATTCAGGGCTTAATTTTGGGAGGGGCATCAGTACAAAAAGTTCCAAAATTGGCTAAACACAGTGTAAAACAAAATAAAACTATGGTGATTGGGGGGAAGGGCAAATGTCCCCTTTGCCCCCCCTCAATTTTAGTGTGGTCTCACAAACCACAAAGCATATGCCACTCAAATATTTATAATATGTAATATGTATATATTTTAAAAATAGCGATATTTATGATCTAGTTCATAATATATACTATACGTATTAGAAACTAACCCATAAATAAACATTTAAATGACATAAAAAACCTATTAATTGTAAATGATAACATTTAATTTTACATACAGCAATATGGGCCACAGTTAATTTTACTTATAAGAAGATTTATAAATATTTCAAAGATTAATGAATTAACTTTACTAAGGTACATCAGCTGTTAACAACGATGATATTAAACAGATTAATACAGTTTATTAATTATCATTAAACACGAAGAACAATTTTTTACTTTCTTTAATCAAAGTTAGTTAATTAATAGTTAACACAGGAGAGAGGAAAATAATGAAACATAATATTCCTATTATTGTTCTAGTAATTTGTTTTTTCCATCTATTAAACTGTAATACACAATATGTTGCTTACAAAATTATTTCATAATTGTGAATACAAACATTATATAAATATAAAGGTGACATTTTCGAAATAAAAAATTAAATATATTAAACAATAGAAAAAAAAGTGTTAAAAGTAACATTTTAAGCGTCATTGCCGTTTTCGACTGGCTGTTCGGTTTCCATTGGTTCCGTTTCTTTTTTTTCTTCTTCCTTAGGTGGCGGTGGTTCCACTTTGGGTGCAGGCTTTGGTTTGTATAAAACTTTGCTTACATTTTCTTCTATACTATGTTTCTCTCTAACAAACTCATCTAACTTGATCGGAATGTCTTTAAATAAGGGAGAAGCAGTTACTTTGGCTGACTTTTCTTCCAACCAACTCTTGGCATTTTTAAGGGTTTCGGCCAATTTGTCTACTTCAGCACTGTCTAAGTGGTTAAACTGCTCACTTCCTTTGTGAAATGCATCAATATCTTTCTCAGCTTTAGAAATTAATTGGACAGCTTGATCTTTTATAGATGGGAAAGTGGTGTATTCTACTTTACGTCTCTTGATGGGTTCACCAACTGTTTTTAACAAATCCAATTTCTCTGTGTAAATATTTTTAATACATTCTTCGCCTTCATCGTACAACCAAGCTTCCAACTCTTCTAATTGTTTAACAATTTTTTGTCTGTCAGCATCTATAATATAAGAAGCTAAGTCATCTTCACTAGAAACTCGACTTCTCATGTCATAAATGTATTCTTCGAGGCTGTTACGAACATCAATTCTTTCCTTTTCCTGACGATCAGACGCTACCATTTTACCTTCTTGCTCAATGTAGTTATTTAAATCCATAGTTGAATAACCGTGTGTCAATGATTCAATACGTAAATCAATGGTCTTTGTAACAGACTTTTTCTTTTCTTCTTTCTTCTCTTCAGGTTCTGTTGGCTGGGGCTCATTTTCATTTGATTCCATCGGTTCAGAAGGTGGAGTCTCTTCTAGTAATTCGGCCTTCTCTAAAAGTGTAGCACTACTTATGCTGAATATACCATGTAAATTAATTCTGGCTTTAACTTTGACTTTTTGACTTGCACCATCTGCTGTTGGTTTGACATCGCGGACTGTGAATTGACCAATATAACTATCTGCATAAGGAATAGGGCCAGAATAATGAGCTTTTACAGTAAATGGAGCTAATCTGTAGAACGACAACATTTTTGAAAATGGAACAGCGTGATTTTTAGGGAAAACTTCAGCACGGCCATCATCTGAGTTGTCTGATGGATCCCATAGGAGTTCAATGGGAAAACTTTGAATATCGGTCACACTGAAATCTCTTACTCTTACAGCTGGTGATAGCATCGCACATTGTAAAGCACATCCACGCGCCACAGCCTCATCTTGATTCAAAGTAGTGCTAGGTGTCTTGCCGAAGATTTTTTCTATTAAGTTCTTAATATATGGAATACGACTTGAACCGCCAACAATTTCTACGGAATAAATGTCATCTTTGCTCAGCTTGGAATCCTTAAGGCACTGTTCTAATGTGACCTCAACTCTATTGAATAAATACATGGCCAATTCTTCAAATTCTGCTCTTTTAATATCTCCGTGCACATCTTTGTCATCCATGAAACACTCAATGTTCATTGGCAACTTGGTGGAATTAGCTGACATTTGTTTCTTTATTTTTTCGACTTCGGTCAACAATCTCAAAAACGCTCTAGCATTGGTTCTAGGATCAATGTTATAACGGGTCTTGAAGTCTTTGCTGAAGTGTTCGGCTAAAATGAAATCAAATTCCCTACCGCCCAATTGAGAGTCAAACGTACTGGCCAACATCTTCAATTTGCCCTTGTTGAATGCACAGATGAAAACCTGAAGGGAAGTGTAGCCACAGTCGACAAACACAACATTACGCGGCTTTTCTTCGGGATTGGGCAGGTCCTGTTTGTAAATACCATAGGAAAGCGCCGTGGCAGAGGTCTCGTTGAACAGGCGCAGGACGTTGAGTCCAGCAATGGACGCAGAGTCAAGCAGTGCCTTACGCTCTGCGTTTGTGAAATAGGAAGGAACTGAAATAACACAATCGTTTACCTTTGTCTTGAGCGTTATCTCGGATATTTCTTTGAGTTTGGTCAGCAACATGCCGGTGATCTGCTCCACGCTAAATGTTTGTTGTTCATTGAGGTAGTTGACGTTGATACCGATCTTGTTATTTTCGCCCTTAACCACGCCAAAGTTCAGGTGCTTGAGCTCCTGCTTGACGAACGGGTCGTCGATGGACCGGCCCAGCAACCGCTTGAAGCCGTGCACCGTGTTCTTCATGTTGGTGACCATCTGATTTTTGGCGGCCACTCCGATGATGCGGTTCCTGGGACTGAAGGCCACGCATGATGGCGTGGCCCGCAGGCTGTAATCGTTGGCGATCGTCTCGATGCCACCGGCCCGGGCCACGGCCACATAACACGATTCGTTTCCGAAATCTATACCTATTACGGACATTGCGGCCATTGGCTTGAGGAAAACGAACGGTAAAGAATAATCACGTGGATGCGTCGATCGGTGGGCGTGCGCGTGCAGTGGACGAGAAATTAAAAAATGATTGGCTTTTGTGTGGTAATCGGAACGCGGTCGAGAGATGATTTAATTGATAGTATGGTACACCGACTTATTGCTTGGCACTGTGTTGTACACGCGATTCGGAGAGCCGGCAAATGTGAATCGATCGAGGGAATATTCTAGAACGTTCGACTCGTCGGATGACAAACAGTTTTGTGCCGGGTGGAGGGGATGATCGGTGAGCCGCAGGGAGGCAAACGTCCCGCCAATGGTTGACGAAAAAAAAAAAATTTACACAAACACGATAATTATTTATTAACAGAAAAAAATAAAACTTTCCGTTTTGAAACCGTCGAAGTATACTTGATTTGTTTTCAAAAACTGTTAGAGCTCTAAAAATTTGAAGATATTTAAAAAAAATCCCAAATTTTATTTTCGAGGTTATCAGCTCTTCTTCTGTTTGATGAATATTGATAACGAGTGTTATCATAGCAACAAAGTTCCGACTTCCGACCACGGGCCGTTCGGTTCCGCTTCCGACTTATGTCCTGTGACCTGTTTATTATAATATAATATAATATTAGCCTTTAAATATATAAATATAATAATATATTATACGTGATCATGGCTCACAAGTTACAAGATATTTGATGTTTGATTAATTGGTTTATAATCGAAATTCTGTTATTCAATAACTTAGATAATAGTTCAATAATAATAATTAACTTGAAATTAGTAAAGTAGTGAAATACTGAAAGTCGAAAACTAATCCTTCTAATATTATAATTTTTGTTTGTTAATAATACTAAATCGTTTAATGCTAAGCCTATAGATTTAAATTATTCATAATGCCTTTGCCACCAGCTCTGGCTAAAAAATTGGCAACCCGTGGAATACTCACCGAAAACGAAGGTAAAATGTGTACATCAAACATAATATTATTATCCTTATTATGATATTATTTACCTATTTCTTGTAATACACGACTTAATGGTGGAAGTATATAAGTACCATTATTTGAGGGAAGGTTACAAAAACGAATAAAAAATAGTTCTAGGTAATTCTAGGTTTTCTTAGTATTCATAATTCACCTTCTGACATAATACATGAATACATTTATTGTGTTTTCATTATATACTCAGATATTTTATACTTGGTACTTAATATTATACTTTAATAATAACATTTTTTTTTCATAACTTCAGCAAAGAATAACACAAAAGAAGTCGAAGAAGAGGTAATTGCAGAATGTTATGATGATATTGATGATGCAAATGATAACTCGGGTTCAGATTCACAAGATAGTGACGAAGAAAATGATAAACCAGATCCTAAAGTATTGGATAAATTTAAGGTAAGTTTTAGTGATTTTATAGTCAAAGTCAATTAAATGTTTATAACTAATGTAGTTTTGTCTAATTGTATGCAATAGGGTCATCACGGTTGTCCAAACAAGTCAAATGTATACCATGAATGCACCAAGTTTTGTGAACAGCGGTGGAGAAATGGTATTAAACGACCAAGGAATGGATATTTAAAATCTAGAAATGCTATGTTAGAAAAGTTTCCTTTACCTAAAAATTGGCACGAAGTGTATGATCCTGGAACGTAAGAATTATTTTCTTTATTTACGTGTTGTCGTTAATACACTTTAAAAACCATAGATTCCTACATTTGTAAATAAAAAAAAATTATCAATCCAAGTACTTGTTACTTAAATTTTTTTTGACATGAATAATACGTCTTATGGCTGGGGGTCATACAAAAATTTGTGTACGACACCAAGAATTTTACAATGGATTGGTAGTTACCATCAATAGCCACAAGCTGTATTTGTATGTACCAATGTATCTGCATGGAGTGTGGATATTCGTTTCTGGTAGCTCATAGCAACCAATGATTAATAAAATTATGTTACCATAGCAACCTCTTTAAATCTAGAATTGGGTTAAAACTATTATTATCAAATATACCTACTAATAGGCGTAACTCGATCTTAAAGTTAGGGGGGGGGGCTCGGGCCCCAGAATTTTTTTAATAAGTAAATTATTAATAATTTTTACAGGGGCTTAAGAAATTCTGGGGAGGGCTGAAGCCCTCCCCCTCCCCTAGTATGTATTTAATTTTAACTTGTACCTCCTAGTTTATACTAATTATTATATAACAAAAAACATAGCACGCTACTCAATATTTTTGCTTTACAAGGAAAATGTATGAATCATAAATATGTTTTTGTTAATAAGTATTTGTGACACTTAAAGTTTTTACAAAAAAGTTTGTATCTAGCCCAAAACCATATTTATGATAATAAATAAATAAATATGAAATTCATATTTGCTTCCTTTATCAGTATTCAGTTTTTAATTATTATTGTATTATAAACTAGTGATTTTGTATTAATTATTATTATTTATCATTAAACATAATGTTAAAATGTAATAATCTAATAAATTAAAATGAAACAACATAATAATCATTTATTAAGAATTTTATTAATTAAAAAAAAAAAAATGAATAATAGATTAGGTATTTATTATTAAACAATTCAATTTTTTTTTCTTGTACAGTTTTTTTAAATTAATAATATTAATTATTTTGTCTACATTCAGTGGCAGATTTTATTACTGGGATGTAGTAAATGATTCAGTTTGCTGGTTACCACCTAGCCACCCTCGTTCAATTGTTACTGATTCTGTTGCACAATTTCGGTTTGAACGTCATGCTATAATGCAAAATATGGATAAAAAGACTTCAGATTCAGAGGTAATTAATTTAATTATTATTTAACTATTGTAGTCTCTGATGTATTCACTGCATTACTATATCAACATCATAAACTTGAAAACCAGCAATCATTTCTGAACACATTAGATTGGTTGAGGTTAATTTTGTATGTTCATATATATGTAACATGTAAATAGAGAATCTCCTATAAATTAAATTATCTTTTTTTTTTAAATTAAACAAATATTAAAGATAGATTAGTTAAAATAATTAAATAAATAAAAACTTAAGAGGAAACTTTTTGGAGCTTTAAGTATATATCTTTTATTTTGATATCATTATAGAGTAGTAGTGATGATAGCGAAGACGAACGGCAAAAATCTCAAAGAAAAAAACATCCTATGCTACCACCTGTTCCAGAAATCCGAGCCAAAGAAGTGAGATATGATCGTGAACCAAAACGTAAAGATCCTCCAAGAAGAGTAACAAAAGCCAATGATCTTGATCCTATGGATCCAGCTGCTTATTCAGATATTTCCAGGTAATATTTAACATCAATAAAATATGTACTTGCCAATTGTCAATGTGTAAAATGTTACTAGTCATTGCATTAGTTTATTATTAGCAGTGTAGTTTTGATGAACCTTACATGATATATACGATTTGTCAACTATATATTTACTTATAGGGGTTCTTGGAGCGATGGCCTAACAGTTGAAGCTAAGTCAGGGGTGGACACTACAGCATCAGGACCACTATTTCAAATGCGACCATACCCTAGTCCAGGTGCAGTTTTGCGAGCTACATCTAGCCAAACTAAGCGTAAATAAAAGAAAAGAAACACCAAATATTGTCTTTAATTTCTATATTTTACTAAAATTATCAAATTCAAATAAATGACAAATAAATGTAAAAATTAATACAACCTACATAAATCTTTCATTTATGCTATGTATGCTGTTCCATGAATTTGGAACTCAACAAAAGTATATTTTGTTAACTTCAGTTTGTTTAATAATTACTGCTTACTAATTGAAGAACTAAACATGGAGTCAACTCTAAAAAAACTGAACATATTAGGGATACAACTTTTTTATTAATGAGATCTTCTGTGTAATCTGTCTGTCTGTGTATAATGAATGTTGGGTGCCACTGATCATTCTTGATCAACATTTTTATTTTTACAAGTCCTTTTTCAAAGTTTTGATATGAAAAATGGTCTGTTGTATTTTTGTTTGTGATGATAACAAATATGCAAGCTTCTGTTGTGCTGTAACATAAACACTGACCAACTTCAAGATCTTCCTGATAGTCTTTATAGTATTGTGACTTAAAGCAGTATTTTTCATTGACTGATTGAAAATGTTGATCCCAATACACTGGTAAAGTAGTTTTCCGAGAAATTAATATAATATTCAGTTTTTCAAACTCTCGCTTTTCTATATCTTTGATACTTTTATAAACTTGAAAGGTACTTGGATGTTCGACTCGGCCTAGTTCTGACTCCTTTGACAAATTCTGTAAAAAAATAAAAACATAAGTAAAGTTATTTCATAGAATTGCTTGTTATTAAGGCTGAATTAAGTAAAATTACGTGTGTAAAATGACAAATTTTGATTGTACATCCTACATTTTTAAATAACTTTTCAATGATGCCTTTTACTATTGACCAGTCTAATTTGTCTAGACCACAACCAATTCGTGGGATGGCTAATTGTTTAACATTGTGTTGTACAATAAGATCACGTAATTTTGTAATTGCTCCAGTTATACTATTATATGATGGTTTCGCGTTACTATATTCCTTCGTAATTAAATAGTAAATAAACCGATCATTGTGTTTCAAATACGCTACTGAACCAACTTTTGGTCTTTGGTCCATTAGTTCACCAACTCTTCCAAAATGGGTCCTAAATCATATTTAATCATTAGATAAGTTAAAATTATTAACCACGGACAATATTTTATCTTTAAAAATTATTGTTCAATAACTTGAAATATATGGCGATACCAGCACTCATACGCATGTCTTTGGCCACACAATGTCCAAGAGAATATTCTTCAGGCATATCAAATAAGAATTTATTGACTTCTTCAATAACGTTGTGTTGGTCAATATCAGATTTGAGTTCCATGGATATGAATTTCTGTTTTTTTTTTTAAGTTCTACTTCTGTAACATTATGTGACATTAATCAATATCATAATATAGAGTTTACTTATAGTGTCAGTCTAGCCCTTGTTGTTTTATGCATCGTAATGGCATAAATTAATTAAAGTTTTGCTCAATGTAAATAAAAAATGTAAGGGTGAGTATTTGTTTGAGCCAGACCAACGGTGTCTCAGTATAATATGTATTAAGTATACATTTTAAATTTCTAAAACCTGACAGTTTTAATGATATAAATTTAAACTTGTATACAAATATAAAATATTGTCTTGTTAAATACTTAATCGTAATACCTGTTTGAAGCAAAAAACATCCAACACAAGCTGGTAAGTTCCCAACTGAAAATAAATATATAATTACTAATAATTAAGTATTTAAAATTCTTTTTTTTTTTCAGCAAATTGAATTTATAATAATAGGTACATAACGATAATAGGTCAAGATATTCACGGACAAAATATCCAACGGTCAAGATATCCAACGACAAAATATCCAAATTTATCCATTAATACGAAAATTAGTAGATTACACTTTACTTTCTAATAAAATTAGCTCAAATATCACAAAGTATACTGCATTACTGCACAAACATTAGTCAAATACACAAATAATATAAAATAAAATGCATAGTTAAAATGCAAAATATTTTTCAAGCATTTTGAGTTTTAACAAAAAAACTAAAATTATATAAATAAAAAATTATAATAAAATAGAAAAGGATTTAGGAACTAATCCGGTTTCTATATAATTCTATATCTCCCCCAATCCACCCCTGCATTGAGTTTTTAATTGTTGTTGATATATATTAAATATATTTTTTTTCTATTTTTAAAAACATTGTTCTAAATTTTTAGAAAATAGAGTAGGTAGTCATTTTTTTTAGCAAATTATTTAATATTTTGTTTTATTTTATTGTGAGTATGCTGTATTCATAAAAAGAAATTATTTTATATTATTTGACTATTTGACTAATATGTGTGCAGTATATTTTGTGATATTATTATTATATATTACCTAGGTATATTTTTATAATTAAATAATTTGATATTTGAGCTACTTTATTAGAAAGTAAAGTGTAATGTTTGGAAAAACGGATACATTTCTATATTTTGTCCTGATTTGTACATAACACAATACAATATCTAAACAATTGATAAATTACTAAAAATTACAATATTAATGAAATTGTATAGGACATCGGACATTTTTAGATAATGTAGCTTTTAGAGTTGTTGCTTTAGTAATAAAATACAAATAATTATTGATAATATCATCTTCATTTAATAATTTATAATTAACTACAATAATTATTAATTAATGATTGATTAAAAAAAACTATACACACCTTAGCTTATTTGAAGATCGACAATGATGATCCCGGAAACAATTGTTTTACGGACTGACAAGTAGGTAGATTGACAAATAAATAGAAACGAGAAATTATTAGACGAATATTTAACAGTTATGTACTTATTGATTTACTATCTAAATAGTATTTTAATTTTTAGTGGACGAACAGTTCTACGAGCCATGCAGGTGAAAACTGAAAACTAGCAACCGGTAAGTACGCAGTGTTCCAATGTAGATACTGGAGGTCTGGACTCGAGTCTCGAGATTATTCCATATTTAAAAATAATCAACGGTGTGGAAGTTGTTATCAATGCCACTCCAAAATACCAGCATGACAGCGCCGTCTGACCATGGAACAACAGCTGCTGCTGTCTCACCGATTCAAGATTTACTGTTTACAAAATTGAAAATATAATGTTATTATGTTTTACGACAATACGGGAAAGTGGGAAACAAGTAACAACTTTCATTTTTCGGAGACACTATCGTCAGTGGAAATTAATTACACTTGTGGTTGCCTATTCATCCCCTTAAAACAATATGCTATATTTTAAAGGATATTTTGTATAGGCAACCACTAGTGAAATTGATGGCCATGTCACCAGCTATTTGAGTGTTCCATAATCGTATTGTATAATACAGTATTTACTATTTAGAACAGTTAGGTCTTAGGTACAAGTGTAGAACCTATTTATCTATTCTTTGGTACAACTACCGGCTACCGCCGTCTACCATTGATATAAATACTTAATATAATCAATACTCAGGGGCGGATCTAGGGGAGGGTTCAGGAGGTCGCAGCTGACCCACAGTTAATATTTTCTGATCAAATTGGCCTCTTTTCAGATCTTGAGTAATTGGACACTTAAATAAACACACATATAGTATAAATGAATTTTAGATTCTGAGTGGAACGATGAATGTATTGATTTTACAATGTGTGTTTTTTTTTTTTAATTTTTTTGATTTATTTTTGTGTCTGTGTACACGATAGGTAGTCGAAATAATGCTTCGATTTTCAACTTCAGTATCTTGTTCGATTGGAAAATGAATCTAGTTGGTGCATTCGGGAGGTAAAATTTTAAAATTCACAATAGTTTTCACAAGCACCGGGATTCAACACATAAAAATTAAGTTTTATCTGTTATGCCAAAAAGTGTAAAAATTTAATATAAGGCTCCTGATATATTGTTACAATATCAGTTGAAAAATATTAAAAATACATAGGCTGCACAATTTTTTTTATAAGCATTTAAAGAACGAATTTTGATAAAATTTATCAAATTTAAAATTGAATAATTATTTTATAGTTAAAAATGTATAAAATGTTCAACTTTTATATCTAAGGATTGAAAATTTAAAACATGATTTCACCATTGTAGTTAATTCTGTTACCAAAAAATCTAAAAAATACATAAGCACAGTTTATTTTTATAGTCATTTTAAGTTCAACTTTGGATAAAATTACATAAAAAAACCTAGAATAACTATTTTAGTTATTTTTTTGTGATTGTGTAATATTATTCGTGGGTACTTGAAACTTCTAAAGTACACTATTATACAGGGTGTCCCGTGAGGATTTACTCATTAGCCGTAGAGGGGGACTCGCCGCCCGGACAAAAACCAGTTTATTGACGTTTTACTAATAAACTAAAAAAATTATTAAAAATCATGAGATTAATGAAAATAAAATGTTAAAAGCTCAAAATGTTCACAAAAATATACTCTATAGAATGGCTATCTTCAATTTTTTCAAAAATAAAAAAATAAAAAAATAATTTTTTTAACTTTTTTACTAAAAATTTAATTTTATTAAAAAATAAAATATTTGTAGTGCTTACCTCTGCGAGTCTTAATAAAAAAACATAATTACGATATCTCCATTATTTCAGGAGATATCGCAATGAGTAAATCCTCACGGGACACCCTGTATATACCTATGGAGTATGGACTATGATAGTATCAGGGTTTGTTGTTGACGTATAACGCATTATAAGTACCTAATGGATATTGGGATATGATTAATTTGGAATTTATTATAGGTAAATTTTTTTAATACGATAGAAAATAATATGCCTTATACCTAGACTGACATACCGTCTCCGCTCAGAATCGTTTTTCTTATACAATGATATTATATCATTGAATTCAAATTTAATACTATCCATTATACAGTGACCCACTTGTAACCTACTGTACAGCGGAGCACCTTTTTTTTGTTTTATATACCTAGTACACAAGTATAGATTTCTTATTTGGTTTTAATAAGTGGCCCCTTGAAATTTCCTGACCCACAGTTTCCTAACTCTGGATCCGCCCCTGTCAATACTACGATTAAAGATTTATAAATAATTATTATAATTTATAAAAATGTATTAATTTATTCGTGTTACTACCATGCTGCTGTCTTCAGTCAAAACAGGATAACTCCAGTCGATACGATTGTTATTAAATAATGTTTTTAACAGTAAACCAAGACTTAAAAAAGCGCTTACACAAAAAAACTATCAAAACTATTATGCTGATATTTCTAATTTCATATCTAGAATTGCTTATACACTTTTAATTTTGACTCTTTTAAGGAGAAAATGGAGTTATCCTAAAATAAATATCGTAGTAGTGTAGTACTAAACGAAAAATTGATAACTTCATAATAATAATGGACTTATCGGATTAGCGCCTAGTCTTTTCTAGACATACCTTGTTTTAGCCTAATTTGTCACGTAAATACCCTTTTTCTCCAATATTTTTATGAACCATTATCAGTGTCGGCCTGGTATTTAAAGGGCCCAGGAGGCAAATTATTCAAAGGGCCTCTCAAAAATACCAAACCTCAAAAAAATAATTTTTTGACAGCTTTCATTTTAGTAAAAAAATTTCAAATGTTATGATTAAAAATCTCTATATTTATACAATATGTGACCACAAAATGTAATGTGTATAAAAAATTAAAAACTATATAATTGAACAAAACTAGATTGTTGTATATTACAATTTATATTATTAATCCTTTTAATAAATTCATCATGAGCCACATTGTCAATCAATTTTTCCCTGTCAATTTCTATATCTTTTTCAACAGCCATTATCATTAAAGAACAACAATTTTCTTGTTTAATGGTTGATCTTGATTTTGTTTTTATAATCTTTAATTTTTAAAAACTCTCTAGCACGAAACTTGTGTAGATGGTAAAATTAATATAAATTTATAGATTACAAAACAGATTTGATTGAAAAGTTAATTCTCGAATTATTACAAAAGTGGTTGATTAATGCCTAATGGCGTAGCTAATATTCGTATTAGTACCTATTAAAAATAGATGTAAAAAATACTTATATGAAAATTTTCAATAACATTTTCCATAGGCAATTCATCTGTATCCAAACTTGGTAAAATTAATCCTGTAATAAAAAACTGAATTTTTTGTTGGACAGGCGATAATCCACATTCAATTAATTCGCTTTTTAGAGTTCCGTACGGTAAAAAGGAAGCCTATTACTAAGGCTCCGCTGTCCATCGATCCGTCTGTCACCAGGCTGTATCTCATGAACCATGAAAGTTAAAAAGTTGAAATTTTCACACATTATGTATTTCCATGGATGCTATAACAAATGCTAAAAATCTTTTATTGTTTTTTCGAGTTAATAGAGGGACGGAACTACGGAATAAGAACCGTATTAGCATTACTTCTCCTCAATACTAAAAATCCTAGAATATATAATATATAGCTGATGATGGTACGGAACCCTTAGTGCGAGAGTCGGACTCGCACTTGGCCGGTTTTTTTATTTTCCTGAACGTTTTGGGGCACCGGAGAAAAATTGTTGTTCCTGCATTATTTTATTTTAACAATAAACAAACAGTCAACATACAATTTTAATGAACTAAATTAATTCATTAAAAATAATAAGTATACAATAAACTCAAGTAACATCGTGCTAATAGTATTCTATTTAGTAAGTAGGTATTCATTATTTTTAATACTGCGTTTTTGCCGCACACCGCCACAAAGTACAAACAAAATGAAAACACAATCTACATTATCATTTATCGGCTGTTTTATTTAGCAGTCTGTGACAGGGGACACAAAACAGGAGGCTTGCGCGCACACTTACAGACTATACATTAGAAATAACAATATACCTAATATGATGTATTTTCCAGTTCTAAAAATAGGCCTTGTAAATGATAATTGGTACTGGTTTGTTATAGCCCCCCCATCCATAATAGTAAATACATCGTACAAAATATAAATAATCTAATGATCCGATGGAAAAAACGTTTTATAGATATTTATCAAATAATATCGATCGAACTTCACAGTACGTATTTCAATATAATTATGGATTCCAAAATATTTTCATATAATTTTATTATTACCACGGACTAAGAAATTATTATGATTTTAGTATCATTAAAATAATAAAATGAATATTATATAATATATAGTAGGTACATTTTGGTACGCTATTTTTACATCAGAAATCAGTGTAAAACCATTAATAATATCTATAGAAACAAAAAATTAATTTTTACGAAATATGGAGTTATCGTGTTTTTGCTTAGCACGGCAGCATAGATATTGACTAGTATCTTTAATTATCATATCTCAGTAATCCTTAGGTATAATATTTTAGTTCACAGGTTTTACCAGCTATCCTGGGCCATCTATTTATATTATATATTTAATATATTAAAATGATATATTAAAATATTTAATATTTAATATATTAAAATATTTAATATTTAATATATTAAAATGATTAATATTTCACGCTAATATTCTGTAGCATTACCACGATTAAGGATTAATTTAGCACGAGTTTCAGCATTTTTCCATTATAGGCCTCGTGGGGTTCCGATAATTTTGTGGTATTCCATTTACGAGAACATAAAGTTAAGACTGGTGGTGAACCGTGGAGGAGTGGTAAGATATTTCACAAGCATTTTACAATGTCTTGATGCTTATCTGTACTGGTTTAAGTAAAATAAAATATGGGACACAGGGCAATAGGCGTGCCTATAATATAAGACTTGGTTTAATGTCTTGATGACATTGAACCAATGACTTGATTTTAAAATTAAGGGCTAATCGTACCATCTCCGATTTAAGTTAACTGAAGTTTAATTGGCTGAATTTGCCCTGTTTTAAAATCTGTTATCAGCTGATTAACTGTAATCAAAGTGTAACCGTAGACAGTACAACTGGCCCTAAGTATTAACAAATTAAATAAAAAATTCAAATATACAATTAATACAATTGATTTATTTAACCATCTTTTTCAAAGTACAAAAAATAGTCTGAATACCTGCAAAATAAAAATGTAATATTAATCCAGGTCAGTATTTAATATTTAATACAAAGCATTTTAGATTACACACTGAAGAACATTTTTGAAACTTAATACATTTAGTTTCAGACATAATATCATATGGTATAAAAATTGCTATTGATTAGAAACATATTTTCTTAAAAAAATTTACAATAATATGTTTTGACAGGCTATGAAGTAAGACTAACATTTTAAAATTAAAGCTAATACTTAATGGTTAAGGAATAATTATTTAACCCATTTAGCATAATATATTGGAATATTCATATATTTTATTATTCATTTTAATATTACGGTTACTGAGAAAATTTTATTTGAACATTTATAAATTTTTGAAATCACAGAGTTATAGTATCATAAGTGGCCTTGCGCCCTTCTAGTTCACTAAATATGGTGGCTAACCTGCAATGCTGGCAATTGTTTTCATATACGAATATCAAATGTTCAAATTATATTTTATTCTTTTGTAATTACATATTTCCATGTACGTTTTGTAAATTTTTAAAATTAAAAAAATTTGTCAATTTTAAAAACATATGAACACAATGGACCCATTCAACAAAAAAGACATTGTAGAGCATAAATTATTTTTGCACATTTTTTCAAATTTTAAGGGAATATAATGAGAATATTTGAAGGTTTTTAGAGAATATTAACATATATGAATCCCATCTTAAGTTATAATGTACACATTTGCCTAATATTGTAAATATATGTGAATATAGACAATCTCAAATCAAATGTTTGCTTTATTTTGCATACCCTTAGGAAGGTTTATGTTATTAATTCAACAATAACCCGCTGGAGCCTGCGTGATTTTTCATATAAGCTTAACACAAAAGTGAAATATTTTACTTCAAAAAGTATTTGAAAATTGCATTTCCGATTATACATTGAATTCTTAATAAACATAGTCGGAGACACGAAAAGTAGCAGATGACCAGTAGACAGTGGTTCTCATTTTACTTCAACCACCGGCAATGGTTTGAAAACCACTATCACGAAAAAATTGTTACTATTGTTGTGGTGATGCGCCACTTTTCTACGCCCACTATAGTACTAAGCTCACACTAATTTATGACAGAAATAACAAAATTTGCTGTATGATATTTGTTTCTTACTAAAATAAGCTTACGGTATAAATCTTATGTATTTAAAAATATTTATCACACCATGTAATCACATACATTAACCAATACGATAATACATATATTGACTATCTAAAATCAACCAAATGTTTAATTTTTTTAGCAACCCTTAGGAAAATTAATGTTACTAATCAATTACCCACTAGAACCTAAAGTACCTTAGTTTCTAACCAAGTTACTAAAAATTGTGTACCAATTTAACACTTACAGATTAATCTTAGTTGAATAGTCCGAAGCCCATATCATCATCAGATTCATTATCCGATTCTTCTTTCTTTTCTTCTTTCTTGGGAGCTATATGAATAAAATTAAGGTAGGTGAGTTATAGATTAAAATGACCAATAAAAATTAATAAACTAACCTTTTTCTTCAGCTGCTGCTGGTGCTGCTGCTCCAGCTCCAGCGGATGCTGCTACTGCGGCACCAGTTGGCACGCTGGCCAATTTAGACCTGCCTATAAATAGTTTTTCAATAAATAGGTATTGTATAGAAATTAACAATAATCACATAAATTAAAATCAATAAGTGTTATTAAGCTTTCTTACACAAGTTTACAAAAGATATATTATAAAGTAGAACTTAATTAAAACTTCTATCTATATTTGTTATACAACATTACTCTTAGGAACTAACTAATCAATTAACATTGGATGTGTTAATACTTAATTAGTTTTCATACGTTTATTTATTGACATATCAGTAATATTTACCACTTTCAATAACTTCATCGACATTCTTGCCCTTCAGTTCTTTGATAACGAGACTAACTTTTGAAGAATCGGATTCAATACCGACAGAACTTAGGACTTTTTCGATTTCATCACTGGATGGTTCTTTTCCACTGAGGGAAGCTAACAGGTATGCAGCCACGTAACGCATTCTAAAATATAATAAAAATAAATAGTAACTAAGAACAATGTTTGCATTTAATAATTAAATTTATTTGCTTTCGAATAATATTTATCATCAAAATATATCAGCTGATATATTCGTCATTAGCAGTATCATATTCAATTCAAGTCAATTGAGGAGCCTATTAAATCCTTATTATTTTTTTATAATGTTATAATATACATTTTTAATGTACAGATGGGCTTGAAGGCTTGTTGCTACAAAACAATGTCCCCGGACATCCGTTTAATATACTTTTGCAGTAAGTTACCAATTTCCGATTGGAGATATTTATATTAAAATATTCAATCAGATAAATCTGCCAAACATGAAGGATGACAATAATTAACATATCAAATAGATTATAATTAATATTATCTGGAATATTATATATACCTAAATCAAGAGTAAGTAGGCAATAATATGAACTCCAATAAAAGATAGGTAATCAATATCTCTATATATATATAAAAGTTTAAGGTGACTGACTGACTGATCACAGTCCAAACGCCAAACCAGTGGACGAATCGGGTTGAAATTTGGCATACAGATAGCTAATAAGACATAGGTTTTCACTAAGAAAAGATTTCAGAAATCATCTTAAATCAAGTTTCACTCACACCATATTTTTTTTAATAATTTAGTAGCTTTAAAATGTTGTGACGTAAAAGAGTATTCACTAAAGCTCAATTAAAGAGATAAAAGAAGAAAGAGAATACGACTTACTATAAATTGAGAAGGAATGCAACAAATAATAGAAGAGCCACTTTTAAATATTAGAGTTAGGTCTCGAAAAAGTACAATAATACACGGGCAACGCCCGGGGGTTAAGATAGCAAGTTTAAAATATTGTCAAAAAACAGAATTGTAATTATTCATCACTAACAAAAATGAATTCACAATTAAGAGTGCATATCATATTTATTAAAATATAAATTAAATTGTGTACACTGTAACCTACAAATGGGGCTCGAAGGCTTGTTGCAAAAAAGCAATGTCCTCAGACATCCGTATAATTATACTGTTGCAGTAAGTTACCAATTTCTGATCACTACCCATTATTTAAATTGAAATATTCAACCAGTAATTCTGCTGAATATGCCATTATAGTATTATCCAAAGGATGTGTACAAGATATTATATGTAAAAGTACAAAATGCAAAATAAAGGACTGAAATACATTTTAGTTAAACATTATTAACCAAAAATAAAAGTATTCAATTACCTATTATTCATCTCATGCACATGTTTTTATTAATTAATATTATCACAGGGTTTTAATGTTTTATTAATGTAAGGAAAACGAAAAAACAATCATTTAATTGAACTGTCAGTTAACACATTAGCATCAGGTTTCAGACCCGAAAGATGGTATTAAAATATTGTGAATCATCATAAAAAATATTAACTATACTCCTTGCCACGAGAGAAGTAACCCACTACGCACATGCATAATGACAGCAGCGGCCGTTCCGAGGCCCTGTTTCCCCTACTTTACAACGTGATACTTACTAATAGTATTAGTATAAAACGTTGCTGACTGTCGTGATTATGCAACGTCGACATATCAAATAGGTGGGGGATGCGACCACAATTTGGTCGGAACCATGTAGGGACATGGGTTACTTCTCTCGTGGCACGGAGTATAGGCATTTGATTAAGGTATAATATTGGTACATATAACAATTGAATATTGATTTCAGTCAACACATTAGCATCAGGTTTCAGACCCGAAAGATGGTATTAAAATATTGTGAATCATCATAAAAATTAATAACCAGGCATTTGATTAAACTATAATATTGGTACATAGGTAATACCAATTGAATATTGATTTCAGTCAACACATTAGCATCAGGTTTCAGACCCGAAAGATGGTATTAAAATATTGTGAATCATCATCAAAAATATTAACTAGGCATTTGATTTAACTATAATATTGGTACATATAACAATTGAATATTGATTTCAGTCAACACATTAGCATCAGGTTTCAGACCCGAAAGATGGTATTAAAATATTGTGAATCATCATAAAAAATAATAAGTAGGCATTTGATTAAAGTATAATATTGGTACAAAGGTAATACCAATGGAATATTGATTTCAGTTAACACATTAGCATCAGGTTTCAGACCCGAAAGATGGTATTAAAATATTGTGAATCATCATGTAAATCTAAATAAATTAAAATACTATTATCAGGATATAAGTTAACATCATAATTATTCAGACCCGAAAGATGGTTACAAAAAATAATCTCATCATTTAATAGTATTCAAAACAAAGCAATATTATTTGCAGTACCTACTTTATTAATAAGGTAATTGATTTGTGCAAGCTTATATTGAATTTTTTTCCCGTTAAGTGTGTCATCAGAATACAATATTTATCATCAAAAACTTTCAGTCGAAAGATGGTGATATTTGATCATCACAGTCATGTTTATTATTTCGATATACTTAAAGTTTGAATGGTAGGTACCAGCAAAATGTATAATATACATTATGGGATGTTTCGTTTGATGTTATGATTGAATAGGTAGGCTGAGTTAAATTCCAATAAGTAGAGGGTTATTTAATAATTTAAGTTTAATACACCATTAATATTGAAAAAGGTGACTTCTAAAACGCATAGTGGTATCTACAATTAAAATCTAAGTCATTTGTCTTAAACAACAAAACTCAAAAGGAAAATGACGAAATAGCATTGAAATCAAAATCTATCTTAAGAACTAACATTTCACAATTTGAATGGCCATTGTATTAGACATGTCAAATGTCACAATCTATCATTAAAGTAATTCTTTAACTCAAACGCAAGTGGTTAATTTGCCAGGTCATTGATATGGTGCGCTTTTTGACACCGGTTTAAGCGAGCTAATTTCTATAGTAGATCTCTACGTCCTACGGCATCATGGTGAGAGGTATAAAATAATTGAAAAAACGAATTATCCCGAGACACTAAAGTATACGACAATCAGATATTCAGATTTATACGCAGTTTAAACTTTTAACTACTATGTACGTAAGTCTATCGACTAAAACAGCATTCTGACAAGACTTAAATACACCAAACAAGGTGATCATTCACACGTGGTATTCGGGTTCGGCACATTCGACAGATTTCCCAGGTGCCAGAGTCAGACGGTAAGTCCGGAATGACACGATGACAACGGGCAGTAAAACAAAGGCAGTAAAAAGTAGTTCAAAAACATACTTACTTAAGTCTGTTGGACACGAAACGTGAGCTGGCCGCTAGCAAAACGTGGAGAATAAGGTGTCGGAGTCTAGACTGTAGACAGAGAGGGCACTACGAAATATTTTGAAGTTCAGACTTCAGAGCACATTTACGGGGGTCGTCCTCCAACAAACAAAAATTTGATAACATAATATAACCTCAAATATTCTCCAATACCAACATAATTTGTATTAAATTGTTATTAGGGAAATTTTGTACCAAACATACTACCGTGCTTGTCGGAGTATCGGACTAATAATATTATTGCATAAAATATTATATTATTAGAAGTTAGAACAGTGCACAAAAATAAATCAATGTATTCTTGTAGAACTAGTCAATAAGATTTAGTATTTACCATGGTCCATGACATGCCAACAAAGTAGATCTACTTATATTTGTTTCTAATTTATATTACACTTATAACGTCAGTAGTGTAGCCGTCATCGCATAGGCGCAAAAAGGAGGGGGGGCTTTAGGGGCTGAGCCCCCCAAATATTTCCTACATTTCGTTTTAAGAGGAATGCCACACCCGCATGTGTTGTCTCCGTCTTACAAATGTACAACATAGCAAAAACTCTTTTGCGAGGGACAACTTTTCTCGCACCATATTTGTTGTAGAACTACCAAATTTTCACAGCACTTAAAGAAGAACTTTATCTGTGCAACAGCGTTCTCTTTTTTTCAATAACATATATACAATACAAGTTATTTGCTTCTAAACATTTGGTTTTTTAATTTGCTTATAAAAAAATGATTGGATGGTGCTATTGAAAAAAAGAGCACGCTGTTGCACAGATAAAGTTCTTCTTTAAGTGCTGTGAAAATTTGGTAGTTCTACAACAAATATGGTGCGAGAAAAGTTGTCCCTCGCAAAAGAGTTTTTGCTATGTTGTACATTTGTAAGACGGAGACAACACATGCGGGTGTGGCGTCGTCTTAAGCTTATTCAATAATATCAAAGTTAAGCTTTAGCCCCCCTCCAAATTCCAAACGCTATTTGCGCCTATGCCGTCATGAGACTATTATAATATAATGAACCACGTCCGCGTAATGAACTAAATTAATTACTATTGCTTAATTCATTTTGAAAAACCTTTGTTATTCAATATAAAGAATAATGCATGTTAAACAATTAGTGTATTCTTTGATTTTTAAATATACAGTATAATAAATAATTTCTTATTGTTGATACTTGATTGTCATAATACTTATTATAGTTAATGTATTGTCGTATTGACAACATAATTATTATTAAGTTCCAGTAATTTTAATAAATATAAAAAGGAAGGAAATTTAATTGTAATGAATTTACATTAATAGTAAAGTAACTTGGTTAATATAAAAAGGTATAATGCATTTTTATGACGACGAGGAAGAGTTCCACGAATATTTAAATCATCAGTGTAGACCATATTATACTGTACATATTATAATGGTTGATCCGTTAATTTTTAAAGTAATACCTGGGACTTTAAAAGCAGAAAGTATTAGATTAATAGTTATAGACTATAGTGTAGACTCGGAAAGTAAAATGAAAAGTCTAGAGCACGATGTAGATAATATGGTGTAGTCACTATACGGTGGAGTGTGTATTACTATTTGCTGGTAAATCATCATAAGTTTAAATGTTTAATATTAATTATACATTCATTATATCGTTCAAATATTTAAATATTTTTACTAAAAGTAATATAGTGCATTATAAGAATGTAAAAAAAAGCCCGGACAAACTTCGTTTTGAAGTTATTGATGAAAAACCAATACACTTACATTCAGTTCGATTATCGATTTTGATTAGTTTTTATTTAACTTTTAATTTAAGATTCTGCTAAAAATTGTTTAATGCTGCTTTCTCTGCATGCATATCCTCTCAGCATCTTCCCTTATTGACGAATGACGGAATAGTAAAATATAATGTTAATGTTAATTTGTTATGTACTGCAAACTATGCTAGATATCAGCCATTACAAGAGATGACGAAATTAAGAAACTATATATTATAATTAAAATTCCTTCTTTTACAGAGATTTAATTGATTAATTATTTTTTTTTTTTTGATAAATACATAATTCATGTTTTTTCTTTTATTATTTATAAATCATTTTCCTATTAAAATAAAAACATATTGTAATTACTGTTTTACTCAGCTCAAATTATTTTATTTGATAACATATTTTGTGTTTACTGTAAGAAAATTTGAGTTAAGCCAGTTAAGGTCAAAGGTAATATTCTATTATTCTACTTCAGGTATTTGCTTAACAAGCACTAAACATGTGTTGATTATTTACTAATGGATAATTTTATGATTGATGTAAAGTATTTTTTTTTTTTTTTCATTAATTAACCCGCGGCAACTTAGACCATTGGGTGTCTTTTAAGTTTTAACTGTGGGGGAGGGCACCGTATGTTTTTAAACATGTGCGTTTTTTTTTTTTAGTTTGGCAGAATTTTCAATTGGGTATCCGCCACCATGACTTGCCGAAGAGAAGTGCTGCATGTGGCCGAGGTTCGGCCCAGCGACGGTTCGTGTCGCAACGACGCCTTAGTGCACTCTGTCCCCCAAATAAAATATTATATATTTAAAATATAGCATATAAGAGAATTGTAAATACCATAAATAAATTATACTATGAGTGAAATTTTGACTTAATTGATAAACATTTCTGTTTAAGAGTTTAATTTGTTCAAGAGTACATTATACCAATCATTATCAGCAGTAAAATCATTGTCAATGTAAGACTTAAGAAACAGTATTAAAAAGGGGTTTGAAAAAAAAAATAAATTATGAGATTTATAGAAAATATTTCGGAGACAGACCTAACTGACGTGTTTTTAAAATATTAATTATTATAAAAGTTATTTAAAAAATAGATTTTGTAATTTTCAAAACGAGCAGTAGGTATAATATGTAGAATAATAGAAAACCCAGGTATAGGTATATATAATTTTAAATATTTTATAAAATAGCTATAATAATTAAAAAAAAATAATAACACATTTTTCAAAAATCAATGCATTGATTCAGGATCTAAAATTGAATGTGTAATAATATGAACCGATTACAGAATGTACAACATTAGTTGGACCAAACCAGGCCCGACAATTAATTTAATCATTTTTGAATAAGTGATATAAAATACAATATTTCATCTGGATTTTTCCAAACCTATTACGTATAATTTGTATTTAAATGTATATTATAAATATATTTTAATACCTACTATAAAATTAACAATTTCTAATTTAATTATACAAAATATGTGTATAATTAGTTTAATCCTTCTGATTCTTGACGATCCATAGATTCTTTGACAACTCTGTGATGGTTAGCAGAGATAGGTCTATAATAAAATGATTTGTAGTCTGATCGATCCTTCATCATATCATCAATTTTGTTAGTTACCATTCTGAAAAATGATATAAATAATAATAAATAAAAAAAAAACAAAAAAGAAAATTGTTTTTTAATATTATTTAATGTTAAAGACGTATATATATTTTATATTTAATTGTTTATATTGTATAATTGCAAATTAAATTTTATTTATTTTTCAATTCCCTGTATTATAATACATTCCAATAACTTATGATAAAATGTTTACCTGACTTTAAATTTTTCATCTTCTTCATATAATGTATGTAAATACTTTTCATATTGCTGTTGTGGACTGGGATAAATATAGCGTGCCATCCATCGGGTGATTGGATGCTAAAAAAATATATTTTGATTAGATATTAATATAATATGATAAAACAAAAAAAAATTATTTTCTATTGATTTATAAAACAAAAAAACTAAATTGATATTTATTTTGAATAATTTAATAATTGTAAAAACCTACACTAACTATAGCAATGAATTAAAATAATTAAAATAATCTATTAATCTAATTTATTAATTTCCTTGTTGAAAAAGAATTTTATTTTAGTCCACCACGAACCACATGGGCAAAATGTTATTGCCGCCGTGTTGGTGGTTAATTGTTTCTAGCTGAATTATTATAACTTTTAAGTCTAGAGATTGGGTTTATATGTATTAAAAAGGTACTAAATATGATGGAAATAATATTTATGGTAAAATCGACAAAATAATTAACTAGGTACATAAAAACTTACAAAATATGCAGTATATAAGAATGTACCAAATTATTAAACAATAATAACAAGTAAACCCATAGACCTACAAAATTATGAACAGAGCTTGGAGAGAGAAAGTAGCAGACAAAATAGCCGAGAGATAAGAACTATTCGTTTGGAAATATAACAGGAGAATGTTCGGGACGTTGCAATGTTTCCTTCCTCACTGTTATTTCATCCACATTACTGTAGGTGAAGTGGTATTGTAGGCACCTTCTATTAGTTTATATGTGTATGAGTAAACCAAGTCCATTATATAAACCAGGTAACAGCCATTTAACTATTTATTTTCATTGATAGCAATAAAAGCAATAAACAATTGTTTTTTTAAATTAAGAAATATTATTTTCGAATATTAAACATTTTCTATGATAGTTTTAAATTAATTGATGAACATCATATTATTAATTTTTGTCTTTATTTAAAAAATAATAGCAAAGAATTTATTTATTTATTAAAATCATATAAAATATGTAAATTATATGATGTAATAATAAAATATGCCTAAACTGTTCAATTATGCATCAATATGCAAAATACAATTTATAAAATCAGTTGGATTTGTAATACCCATATTTCAAATCCTCATAGTTGTGCATACACTTAGTATGAATATGTAAATGCTAAGGATTAAAACAATTTTATGTTTTCATTACTTATTAGTTATAAGTTATAAGTATGATTATGTTTAATAACATGAATCAGAAATAGAATTCATTAGAATAAAAAATCAACTAACCCGATGGTATTCCCAATGCTCAGGTCTATAGCCTTCAGGAATTGGAGCCAATTTAGCTGGTCCAATAAAAACATTAACACCAGTGACCAATAAAGTCAAAGGAATAACGCCAACCAAAACATAATAATGAATTAAATCCTTGAACTTTGTCCATTGCCAACGAGTCTCCTTAATACTCATTAGATGATGACCACTCATGTTGCGAGCTGGTACAAGAGCTAAAATTCCAGAAAAAATAATTATTCAAATATTTTAATTTAAATTCTTCTAGTATAGGTATAAACATTTTCAATTTTTATTTTTGGATGTAAAAGTAGATCTAGCCATGATAATAAATAACAGAATATTACAAATTTATACTTATATGTCAAACAAAAAATGGTAACAAATCTTCTTTTAACAAAATACCTATAAGATTTATGATTCACAAAATAGATATATTTCTACTTTACCGAGCACCCTTTTATTTGCGTTTTTTTTTTTTTTTTTTTGAATCTTTTGTAGTTAAGTATGCTGAACACGATGGTAAAGTCCGAATTCGGCACACGGACTTAGTTTTGAAGTTATGGCCTAATGAAGTTCACTATTTTGGAGAGCAGCGACGGGTTCCGTAAAACGTGTAATCACTGCCTATACGCTATACTACGACATAACATAGATTCAAATCGTTTAATAATTTTTGTGCCGAATCACTGAAACTTTGAACTTCCATAACTTTTAAAAGGTAAGTTTCCGGGAATTTTTTCAAACAGTTGAATTCAGCGTAACCACGTATTTTGAAAAAAAAGGGTGTCCGGCAAAGTAGATTTGTTCCAAAATCGCAAAATAGTGAACTTCATTAGTCCATAACTTCAAAACTAAGCCGGCACGCCAAAATCTGACTTCACCATCGTTTTCAGCATACATAAAAAGGTTTCAGGAAAAAAATTGGAAAAAAATGGGTGCCCGGTAAAGTAGAAAAGTTCCACAAAATATGTTAAATTCTCACCAGATGATTTTAGCACGTCGGTTTTCTTCGAACTCAGACATTTGGTGATCGCCGATCCCAGCTTCAGTGAACTCCAAACAGCCATTTTATCGGCGTTAGTCAAACCAAGTCTATACAAAAACAGAATACTCGTTAAATGGTACAGTGGTTAAATCGATCTTACATGCTACTTGAGAATTCTTTACGACGTAAAATGTCACGGGCACAGGTCGGAGTCAGGATTTCGGGAATATTGGGTGAAAATCTTAGCAATGATAAGAGAGAAGAGTCGACCGACCGCTGATTATCAGATATCAAATAATTTAATTATGTGCCCTTCAGCATATTCTGCAGATGGGGTGACCAGCATGTTGATTAAAATAATCCCGAAACACGGACTGTGCATCGTTTTTTTTGTGGGACGTGGTCACACTGTGGCCAAAACGAAACGCGTGAACGGCAAATCGATGGGCATGCCGCCGTGTGGTATACATAAAAAAAATAGTGTGTACTCCAGTGACAATATAAAAATTAAAAATATAATGAAGCACGACTGCAGCAGCTGCCGAGTACCGACGCGGTGACGCCTGATGAGCGTTGGACGTTCGATTTCCACTTCCACCACCGTTACCTCGGTCTTGTAGTCTAACCGCTGTCCGCTGTACGACTCGTAGTACTCGTACCACCAGTCACCACTCACCGCCGTAACCGTTCACGAATTTTTATTGTTCGGTCGGCGAGTGGCGAAACGTTATCTGCGTATTCCGATCGTCGAGTTGCATAAAATTTATACGTTTTGCGATATTCTATCTCGGCGATTAGTATGTCGAATGTCGATCCGTCCTCTAGATCTGTTCCGTCGGTCCGTTTGACTTGTTATCTGACATAAGCAAATCGTACATTACTGCGGTCCGGTTGCCTACGTGATATACCTCAGTAAGTCCACGTAGTATAAATAAATTAATCATTACGTATTGTATGCGTCGAACGGAGATGAAAAAAATGTTACCGTGAACCACCGACTCGACACTTCAACTGCAGCCGCCGTCCGACTGCTGACAAACGACGACTGACCGCCGACGACGCCGAGGCTGAAACGAAACTTTTGTCGCCATCCAGAACAGTGAGTAGTAACCGTGAGACAACATAATTTATATAAAATAATATTATAATCACCATCATCATAAATAACAATAACAGTTGTATGGTACACGTATGTATAAGACACGTCGTTTTTACCTACTTATATTAAATTACATTGATTTGCTGATTTTGACAAAAAGGCTATTAGCAGATAACCAGTGCAAAACATCACCGCTTCATTGGTGATGTTGAGTTTTGTGTTTATATTGTAAAATCTAAAATGAAACCAGAATTTACTATCGCCTTTATTAGCCGTTTAGGCATACACTTTTAATTTAAAACAATGAACTTAAGTACCTACCTAACTACCTAAGCGTACAACTAAATAGATATTTTTACCTACCTAGGTGTCTGAAAAAGTATAGGTATATAGTCAGCTACAGCTCATCTCAAATATTTTTTTTAAACTGTACCTACAAACGCCTTTAACTATTTATAAATATTAGATATTACTGTAAGCTTTTAGGTATAAAATAAACCATAGAATTTTTTTTTAATAGGCACCTATACCTAATTCTTTTGTAGTTTTACTTCTTTATTTCATAGTGCATTAGGTATAAGAGAATAATGTTCTTCGGCAGTTATTGTTTCAATCGCATACTAATGACTATTTTTTTTTTTGTTGGCAAGTTGTTGCAAATTTATTTACCTCCTGCTGTCTGGCTACCTATTATTAAGGATAGATCTCCCACTGTTACTTTGTCATGGACTCTTTGTCTTCAGATTATAATGGCTTGTAAAATTCTTTATGTCTATTTTATGGCATTATTGATTTTATAATATATAATATTATGTTATAAAATCAATGTTGGCACTATAATAGGCATACAAAAAATTATACGATTAGATTGTTTGAAGTTTGTTTCCTACAGTTTTTGAACGGTTGTTATTATTTAAATTGGAAAAATTAAATTATCATTATATAGGTAGGCAAGGGCGTACCCATTTGGGGTTTTCGGGTCTGGATCCCCCCCTCCTCCCATTGATTAACAAAATTTAAAATTCTTAAGGCTCAAATCACTTATTGAATACTTTTTGCATGTCACAAAATTTAGGACCACCCCCTTTAAAAATTCCTGGGTACGCCCCTGTAGGTAGGTACCTAGGTAGTCCTCAATCGGTTAATAAAAATATAATATTAACATACCTAACAACACATTGCAAATACAATATTTTAATAGTTTTTTTTTATTACCAACTCCTATAATCTATTGATTGACATTGACTATAAGCGAAAAATCTACATTCCAAAAAATTTTTTTTGTTCAACTTAAGAAATAAAATATTGTTTTTGAGGCGTAGCCGGTGTAGGTACTACATTAATAGTTTTTGTTTTATATTGCATTAGTAATATGTGAGAACTTTTTGTACACAAGTTTATTATAAAAAAAAATAAATATATATATATATATATTATAGGTACCATGTCTACAGTAAATTTCTTTTGAGATATTTCTATTTTTCCTATTTTTAATAGAATTTGTAGGAATAGGTACATTTTTAATTATCTTTTTTTATAATCTACCTGCCTACCTAGGTATTTTTAAAAATCAAATTAAATTGGTATAAGCCTATTTATCATCTATATTGTGTAATACTAATGTAATTAGTACTAAATTAAGATAGCTATATAAAAAACCTTAAGTTGTTTACATAATATATGGGTGTGAATTCCAGTAAAAATAACCCTGTAATAAAAATGATGTGTGTCTAACACATATTATTCACGAGATTTCAATGTCCGATAATGTATGATTTAAAAACAAACATATAGTAAATTTTTTAAATCCATTATATTATGTCAGTAGTTATTATATATCTGATCAATATGAAAGACAGATGGTTTCCGCTCTGAATTTCTTTTATCGTAGTTCATAGGCACCTACCTATATAAAATGGTTTATCATTGAATCAAAATTTAACATAAAAAAATTTTAATTCCGAATATACCTACCTATTTCAAAAGGTTTTTTTCAATAGTTATTTTGTTGCAGTTTGAATACATCATGTATGGCCTTGTATATTATACATTTTACTATATGCAATTACATGCAAATATTTGGATTCTTTATATAGATATTCCTATAACTTATTTATACCATAAACTGATGAACCCATATCACTGTACTACGGGTAAGTAGTATTGATTCAAAAGTTAGTAAAAATAGTTAATAATAAAATATGATTGAAATATACCTACATAATATTAATTATTGAATATTCACTGTGTATCATTGAATTAAAATTTAACACATTCATTAGGTACTCCTAATCATTTTTTTTTTTTAATTTTGCAAAACTGTATATGGGGTAATTTTTTTGCAGTACCTACCTATGAGCTTATCTAGGTATATTATGATATGCCTATTATTTACTAGGTTTAAAATGATCAGAAAAAAATGTTTCATAGGGTATAAACGCAAATATCTCACATTAAAATATATAGCATAAATTTGTTTAATTGTAGGTATTATTACATACTATTATCTAATTGTTACCTGGTCATTAGTATTTGATTTTATATTTAAGAAAAAATTAAGTAGGTATGTACCTAAACATTAATTTTTATCAATATTTTAAGACATTTTCAAATATTATATAGGAACTGGAAATAAGAAATATTGTTAATATTTTGCTCAACATTTATGTTTTTAATGACTTGTTAATTATTTTCAATTGATTTCATCTCATAGCATTCTCATAAATATTTACGATTTTAAAGTATTGAATCTTTGGATATTTTCTTTAAATTATATTAATTAAACTATATTGTGATATAATTTTTAAATACTAAATGAATACTTATAGTTAATTGGCTATAAAATCATATTAATTCGGGTTTATAATTAGGTAATTTTACTGAGAAGTGGTTTTTTTTAAGGATACTTTAACTAGGTAGTAGTTAGTTATAGCTTAATTAACTATTAATAGGTTAACAGAATACCTATTAAATTGCAGTTTTAATATTTTCTACTTATCTTTCTAATTACCTTAGTATAATTTATTTTAGATATTATTAGGTAGAACAGGTACTTAAATTAATTTAATAAAACTCATTTACTAAATAGCTACTATATAGGTACATATTGATTGTGTTTTTGTATAATATTAGTTATACTTCTATTTTTTTTTTTTTTTTAAATAGGTAGTAATATTATAGTAAATTTAATGACTCGTATATTATGTATAGTTTATAAATCTTGCTAATAGCCTTGATGTCATCAATGTAATGTATATAAGTAGATAATAATGTCTGTGGTCATATTAAATAGAATCAAAACTGTTAGCTTAAAATCAAACAACTTAAAAATTTAACTATCAAATAGCTTATTTAAGTTTTCAATTGTACAAAATTGATATAAAATATGAACATACCTAATTTAAATCCAAACATAATATTTTTACCATTTTCCTTGCCTTGGGACTTAATATTTTTTCATAACATTATTAGTTATTTAAAGTTCTACCCTACCTACACTTATTTATATACTATCAAACTATTTTGTTGTATATAGAACTAAATGTCCTTATCATTCATTAAGTTCATATGACAGGAAGTCAGGAAAACTAAATATAGGAAATAAATCTGACATAAGACTTTAATCTGTTCATAATGAGATCAGTACTGGGTGGCAATGAATTTTCGTTCCGCAACGGTCATACACCGTCCCCACTATGGCGGCACATAGAGCTGTGTCGTGTGACGAAGCAACGTCTATGCACACAATTTGGCCACCGGTACTAATCTCATTTTGAATAGAGTATAGGAATATACAATTCAATTAGGAAAAACCAGATTATCAGAATGTTAGCAAAATTATTTTCTTATGTGTAAGTACCTATGAATTTAAATAATTTTGGGTAGAAGTGGTATCTTAAAAGTTTTATTTACCTTTTCTAATGATTGGAAATTTATTTTAATGATATATTTTGCATTTTTTATTTAAAAAAATGTATTCAGTTAATATAGAATGTTATTATATATGAAATCTGTAATTTTATTTTAAACCTAAAATTGTTATATTATAACATTTAAATTGTGTTTATATAAACATATTAGGTATGTTTTTATAATAAACTAAAATATTTCAAACATAGGTACCTATATATGATACTTATTTATGTTTTATTTCAGACTTCAAATATTTAAATAAAATAAAAAAATGTTGTTAGTTGGTAGGTAATTAATACATGACTTTATATATTTATCAATCATGAAACTAAAAGATAGATCACCAAATAACCCGATTACAAGGTTTGAAGTCTAAGGGCCAGTTGTACGGTCTACGATTAAACTATGATTAAGTTTAATCAGCTGATAACAGATATTGAAACGTGCAAATTCGGCCGATTAAACTCTGATTAACCATAATCATAGACGGTGCAACTGGCCCTTAGGGCCGATTTCACCAACATAGTTAATCACGGTTAAACTTTGATTACGCTTAATTGGCTGATAACAGATATTTAACCGGCCAAATTCGGCCGTTTAAACTCTGGTTAACTTTAACTGTGATTAACTGTGTTGGTGAAATCGGCCCTAAGTTAGGTATAAATAATTTTTTCATTATGCTTTATGCTTCTTTAGGAAGTGTCAACTTATTTACTATTTTTCTCAACTTTTTTTTTGATCTTAATAAATAAATAAAATATGCACCTGGTTAAGATAACAAAAACTATAGTATCTATTTAAAGCTAACACTTGTAGAACTGTAATTTAATTAAATATAAAATAACTTGAGATGATATCTTTTATAAATTTAATGTTGACTAGTTTTTAATATATGAAGAAGAGATAACTGGTTATATACTTGTTCCTATTCATATTTGAATTATATATATATAGGTAATTTATAAATTATAAATTATTGAACCTGAAAGTAACCAAAATGTAAAATATCTTGAAATAATGAGAGTTAGGTACATATAAAAACATTTCTCTAATTATTTGTCTTGTTTTATAATACTAATATTACCAATATTAGTTATTTAAGATTATATTTAATATAATTAGAAAAAATTCAATTAATAAATAAGTGTACAAAAAATATTCCTTAGAATCATTCCATTTCACATCTAAAATTTCTAATTTTATTAACATTTATGGAACAAAAACTTTTCTATTATAAAATACAAGGAAAATAATAATAATATGATAGTTTTATTTACCAATTTAATGGTAATAAGGTAAAATTAGTTAATATATTAGTTGTTTGATATTTAGCTTTTAAATGACTAACCTTTAGTTATGATTTTATAATCATAAATGTAGAGCTATATTGATAAGATAATTTATTTAAGTCCTAATAATACATGTTTGGGAATTTATATGGTATTGGAATTTATTTGTTAGGCATATATAAAGACACAGAAATGGATGAAGGAATGGATCCGACATTTGCAATGAGACTGAGGGCGCAGCTGTCCAGGAGTCCTGACTACGTTGTTTTGAAAAACCGTCAAATGCAAGTAGCAGCAGAATCGAAGTCACAATCCGTAGAGAAAGAAAATACATTATTAGGTTTTAAAAGACTTGAAGAAATGGAGGTTGATGATGATCCAAATCAATTAAAATCTTTTAAAAAATTTAAAACTGATCAACCATGTTCATCTGTTCAAACTTATGATCAGTTTAATGGTTTTCGAGCTGATCGGTTTATACCTTACCGAGAGGCACATAACCTTTCAGCAAGGTTCAATATTATATCAGATATTAGATATGGTTTAGATTATGGTAAGAAAGATTTTCAAAGTGAAGCAGCTAACAAAGATAATGCGTACAAAGCCATTCTTCACAATGAACTGCTTGGATCAAGTGTTGGTGAAATAAGTATTCAAGATAAAAACCGTGATCGTTTAGCTACCAAACGAAACTTGTTCCAATACTATTCCTCCAGTCCTGAACAAGTTGATAATATTCAATCACGGGTTCCTTATTCATTATCTCCTCTTGGATCCAAAAGTCAAGAAATTTTACGGTCGCCACGTAAAATACCTCGCAAAATTTCTAGAGTACCTTATAAAGTCCTTGATGCCCCTGAACTGCAAGATGACTTTTATTTAAATTTAGTTGATTGGTCATCTTCAAATTTACTTGCTGTTGGGCTGGGAAGTTGTGTATATTTATGGTCAGCAACTACAAGTAAAGTTACAAGAATAAGTGATTTGTCATCTGATGGTAATGTTGTTACTTCAGTTGCTTGGAATGACAAAGGCAATTATTTAGCCTTTGGTACTCAAGAAGGATCTGTAGAAGTATGGGATATTGCTGCAGAAAAGCAAGTCAACAGTTTAACTGGGCATGCAGGTAGAGTCGGTGCTATTGCATGGAATGGTGATGTTGTATCATCAGGAAGTAGAGATCGTAACATATTTTTAAGAGATATGAGAGGTCCAAGTTTATCTACATGTAGGCGATATGCTGGTCATCGGCAAGAGGTTTGTGGACTAAAATGGTCTCCAGATAACAGATACCTTGCATCTGGAGGAAATGATAATAGACTATATGTATGGAATACACATGCATACACTCCACAATTGACATATCACCAACATACAGCTGCAGTGAAAGCTATTGCATGGTCACCTCATCAAAGAGGTCTATTGACTAGCGGGGGAGGCACCGCTGACAAATGTATACGATTTTGGAACACGCTAACTGGACAGCCAATGCAATGTATCGACACAGGATCACAAGTGTGCAATCTTGCTTGGTCAAGGAATACTCAAGAGTTGGTTAGTACACACGGATATTCTCAAAATCAAATAGTTGTTTGGAAATATCCTTCGATGAGTCAAATTGCCAAACTCACAGGCCATACATTCAGGGTTTTGTATTTGTCCATGTCCCCGGACGGAGAGTCCATAGTAACAGGAGCTGGAGATGAGACATTAAGATTTTGGAATATATTTTCAAAAGCCCGTTCACATAAGGAACCCAAATCGAAACTAAACCTTTTTACAAACATTCGTTGAGGGGTGTGTATTATTACAATTGATCCATAAATTGTAATCAAGTCTTGATCTCTCTCTTTCTTATATATTTTATATTTTGTTTGCCTTTTAGCCATTTTTCAGTTTGTTACCCATTGAACAAACTTAACTATTTTTATTTTTTTTAATTGTAAACAATTAAATTTTGTTTTGATTTTGATTTTGCTTTTTCAATACTTTCATATTGTATTAAACAGTTTTGTGAACCACATTTCTGTAATTTTTTTTATTTTGAAGTGTATAACTGATAACTTTTTAATATATAATTAAATTCAGTAGGTAATACTAAAAACCTACAGGAGTAAAGAAAATAAAATGTGATAAATTGACATTGTATAGTTGAGATTTGTTAGTTATTTTTAATACCATTAAAAGTTATAAAAATATTTTAATTTATATTATTTTTGAACAATTTTGGTAAACTAATTTTACCATCAAACTATTTTTTATTTTTTATTATACAGTTCTATAGAAATAATCATAATCATAATGTACTAAAATGGTTGCATTACTTTACTATATTATTATAAAAACAATGTTAGGTATTACAAGGTATTTCACCTTGATTAATTATATAATAATTTGGAAATGTTAATACTTTTTATACTTAGGTTATGACAAAAATCTCTTTATTAACTAACTTTATTTAACTATCCCAATCCTATCTAACTTATATTACATTATGCCATTGAAATTTTAAATTATTAAAATTCTCCATTGTTATCATTTTAATTTATATAGTTTAAAGAATTAAACGCGACAAAATGTAGAGTTAATTTTAATTATTTGTATTTGGCGTTAAAACAGGTCGTTCATAAAAATTGATTAAATTTTTATATATTTTCAAACAACCTCTTTTTAGTTTATTATTTTCATGGTCTACCTATCTAAATAACTTAAATTTTATTTTCTTATTATAATAATGCATAATATAAAATTAAATTAATGTGTTCATATCTCATATTGTCTTTGTAAATAAATAGGTACACGGTGGTACTTTATAGTCATATTTTGATACACTTGTAAATAATGTTAAAATAAATGAATAAAATATTGTTATTTTATTAATATACATATCAATTGATCTAACAATTAGTGAAGTACAATGTTAGATTGGTTGATGTATAATTGTTTATTATTGTGCACAAATGTTATCAAGTATTTATTTTGTGAAGAGTATACATTTATTATTTTGGGTGATTAAATAAAATTTTAACTAAATGTTTATTTTTTGTATTTATTATGTACCTAATATTTAACTATTGCACTTGTTAATTTGTATACTGGTTTTAATAATTTTTGAGTATGCAATGTTCATGTTTTTACTCAATTTTTATTATTAAATAAATCTGGTTTTTAGAATAATTTTGTTAGTATACAACATGAATGCGGCACCAAATAGTAGGTAAATTTGTTATTAAATGTTCTTCATTTTATTTAATACTTATTTATGTAGAATTCAATTTAAACCAGCTTTATTATTATATATTTGAGTTATATAATATTTTCTAGTGTATGTGCGTTTTACAACTCCAACACACTGCGCCTTGTCTCTTTCAACAGTCGATGAATCCATTACTTCGTCTTCCTTTCTGTAGTAGTAATGGTATACTCAACAATATAAAACAATCAATTGTTATGGAAAATGGGAATAACTAATATTATTAACATATATTTATTTTTTTTAATAAATTACAAATATATTCAAAACATTATTTTTAGAATAACTTTATACGATGTTTCAAGTAACTGGATGTAATTTAATTAATATGGTATGAAAAAATAAAAACTAATTTTTTATAAATGTGCATAAGAATGCTATTTAATGTTTTTATTTTAATCAATTATAATGAATCCCTTAATGTAGATATACTATTTGTATTATCTACAAGTATACTGTACAATTTATGTAAAATGTAATTTTATTATATTTTAATTCTTACAAAGAATCAAACTCAAGTTTTTTTTGGTTAAGTTAATCAAAGTGTAATACACTTGATTACTGAATTTTTAATTTAAAAAAAGGCGGGCAAGTAGGTAGGTTACAAGTGTAATGGATGGTGTTAAATTTGAAGTATAATATTATTTTGTAAGAAAAATGATTTTGAGCGAAGACAGTCAGTCAGCCTATGAAATTACTAAGTATATTTTATAATATTGTTTTGAATAAAGTAATTTATATTAAACCTATTTACGTAAAAAAAATTGTGCCTGTGTACTTTTAATATTTTTCAACTACTATTCTAACAATATATCAGGATCCTTGTATTAAATTTTCACACTTTTTTTAACCAACAAATAAAATTTAATTGTTATTTAAAGAAAAAAACGTTAGAACTGACTATGTCCGTAAACAGCTCAAAAAGAGTCAAAATATTTTCAAAATTTCATGTTGTATAGAAAATGAAATAATGAACATTCAGTAAAATTTTCATTTTAAAATGTCAACAGTTATTAAAGTTTTTGAAATACAACAAAATTAATATTTTTTTAAAGTCATTTTTTATAATTTTTCAGCAACTAAAGTAACAATATAGGTATCAGGAGCCTTGTATTATTTTTTTACCCAACAAAACGCTTTTGGCTTAACAAATAAAATTTAATTGAAAAGAATAGAAAATAACTATAAAAATTCCCCTTAACATCTCAAAATATTTTCAAAATTGTGTATAGAAAATGAGAATATAAACATTCAGACAAATTTTCATGTATCTACAGTTATTCATTTTTGAATTCCAACAAAATAACGAAATCGCTAAATTGAGTGAATATCCAATATTGTAAAAATATGAACTTCAAATGCTCATAAAAATTTGATTTGATTTGCTTGCAGACATTTTTTTTTTTTTCTGATAAAGGTAGATAAACTTATGAACTCCCAACTCAAAATTATTTGCTAATTTTCGTGATTTTTACGTATTGTGTCAAGATTTGAACTTTAAATGCATACAAAAAAAAACTGACAAAGGATTTTTAATATTTTCAAACATCATTATACAGCATATTAACTTGTATTAAATTTCCAAGCTTTTTTACGCAACAAATAAATTTTTATTGATATTCATAGAAAAAAAAATTTGAAACTGAAAATGTCCGTAAACAGTTCAAAACAAATCAAATTGTTTTTTTTTTTTTAATAATAAATAATAATAATAATTTATCGTAAAGAGGAAAATTTACAATAAAATAATAATAACGCCCTTTAGGACAAAGAATTTAAATGTTATCGTGTATAGAAAATTCTAATATGAACAACCAGTAAAAATTTCATATATCTATACGTTCATTTATTTTAGAGTTATACCAAAAACTAAAATCGAATGGTCAAAAACCGATTTTGCGTAAAAATTCCCGTTTTTGTTTAATTTTTATGTTGTTTTTCCCGGTGCTTATAAAAACTATTGGGAATTTTAAATTTTGACCTCCCAAATAGATGCACTTTCCCACCGAACATGATACTGTTGAAGAAAATCAAAGCAGTTTTACTGCCCCAAACGGTGGGGACAGACACAAAAATAAAAAATAATAATAAAACACATAATTGTTCAATCAATACATCTAACCTCAGAATCTAAAATATATGCAACTGCGGTATGTAAAATATATAAATTTAATTCCTAGTAACAGGTGAGGACTGCAAATTATATTTTTTATTAAATATATTATATTAGGTTCTAAAACTTTAAAACTGCCACTGCAGAATATATTAGAAATATAAGTAGTTTTGTGTGCACAAAATCGTGTTTAATGGTTAGATTAAATATAATTATTACAATATTTACTACCTATATTTACATTGGTCTGGCCGTTTCTTCCATTATTATTTGATTTGTTTTGCACAGTCGTGTTATTTTTAATATGTATTATGACGCACAGAATGTATAATACTTGATATACCTAGGTACCAACACCACTGTTGATTTATGCGCGCACATAATGACATTACAAAAAGCATACAAATGAGGTAGCCACTACATCAATAACGACAATAACATTATAATATTATATAGTCAATAGTCCATATATTTTCTAGATCTGCAGAGTCACTACTCATTATTATAGGAAATGGACGTCACTACGTCAGCATGATCAGATTGATATTGATAGATCAAAAACACATTGGTACATTCTACACGTATTATACATCCTAATGATGTATAAATATTGTATACATGTACGCCAGAGTATAAGTGTATAAGTAATAATATGCTAAACAGCTAAAACAAATACCGTAATCTATTTTTACACATTATGAGTAAAGTAAATAATTAATAAAAGTGGTCAGTACTTGGTTTAAACTTCGTCTACAGCGTATTTGTTTAGACTTTGGAGTGACTTCTATAGTCGTAAATCGAGATATACACCGCGTGGTAATAACATGGAATAGACATTATTATCCATGGGTAATAACACTGACCTGTCTAAAGTACAAATTGCTACCGGAAACATATGCTTTAAGGATTAATCGTAGGATCGTATCAATTCTTCTATCATAAAAGAAACACTTCATGCAATAGTTAAAATAACAAAAACACGATTTAAAAAAAAAAGCTCTCGGGTATGATCGCCGCTATATTTTACTACCCATCACCCTAAAATACGCCACCTAACCTCAGAGGCAGAACCTACAAACATTGGCTCGTATTATTATAGTGTGATCACAATATATTATTGTAGTAATACAAGCCACCAACGCTGCTGTTTGTAGACTAGGGTGGGTATATCGTTCATGTAGTTATTACTTTGTGTAGGTACTTACAGATAACTGCAGTCGACTGCAGCTGTCTGGTCATTTATCGTTTATTCGTACCGTCTACTACTACCTGTGTACATGTGTATGTTATAAAAATAAATTATAATACAGATAAATATCGGCGGCATACTAAATACTAATGAGTAATAGCGTGTCGAGGGTCGTTAAAAAATATTATATTTCGAATTCGACGATCGTAATATAGCCGTTATCGTAGGTACACGTTTGT